GTGACGGCCAATGCTTGGCCAGGCGGCTGGGCACGGGTGGTACGGTTGGTGCCCCAATCGCTGAGGTGGTTGTAGATATATCTACCCCATATGCTCCATGTATGGTATATTTACCTACAAAACTGGGTGATTTATAGGGCATTTCAGCAACCATGGCTGGTTGGTGGTATGGAACCATGGAATTTTATGACTTTCCATGGGTTGGGAAGAATCATCCCAACTGACTTTCATATTTTTCAGAGGGGTTGAAACCACCAACCAGATAGGGGCTCATAGATATAGACCAAACATCACTGAGGAGCCCCGCCTTGACATGGACCAAAGACGGAAAGCCGAGGTTCCCCAGCGATGTTTGTTTCTTCATTAGCCGCATTAGCTATAGATACTAATTTCTATATATATTTTCTGAAGATGCCTGAAAAACATACAAAATACATCAAAATACCCAGTGGTGATCGGTCCCAACAGAGGATTCGCAATGCCCTAAATCCCATGAAAGTCCTCATCTTCAGCAGCGGGCAGCGCTTGGTATGGCGTAGTTGTGGCTGAACACGTGGCCATGATGGCGGCCGGGGGTTTCGTGATGCTAAACCATGAGATTTTGGAGCAAAAACAAACAATCCTACGACGATGCCAAAGTTTTATCTGGAACAAAGGTGCTTCATGGATTCCTCATGAATACTGAAACTGGGTAATTCTGGGTCACTGCTTCGGTTTTTGTTACACAATAAAATTGGGTATTTGGTGGTGGCCCTTGCTTTCTGCCTGTTGATTTCCACCGCGTTTCTTTATCGCAATCTTACCCAGGCTGATTCACCTCAAGTGACTCTTGCTATAGCTTGGTTTGGTATAGGTTGGCCAAAACAGAAGACGCCAAGCCATCGTGCCTTTCCATTCTCTGTGGATAAACAATGGTTTGGTAGGTTACTCTGCTAATTTCTAGCCATAAGCCCTGGAAATTGGGATGATATATTGTGCGTTACTTGTTGCTGGGTATATCCAAGAATAGTAATGCAAAAGGGCAAAGCCCAAAGCCCAGAACCCAAGCGGCCATAGATCACAAATTTTGCTCGCTAAACTCATGTGATTCAGGCATTGAAGTCTTATCACCATGGGTCAACATCTCTTACTGGTTGGTGGTTTGGAACAGTTTTTATTTTTCCATATATTGGGAATAATCATCCCAACTGACTACTGTAATAAATTTTCAAGATAGTTAAAACCACCAACCAGACCATTGTTTTGGAACATCTCTCAGATTCTTGGGCCTGATGGGCCTGCCCTAGGCCCTTCCAACGAGTCTGCCCCACGCCTGGACCTGGTGCCTGGCTGCATGTTTGAAGCATCTGATTGGATGGTTGGGTTTTAACCACTAGCAACTTTCCAAAAATTGTGTGTTTTGTGTACCATTTTTTCTTTGGTTGTTTGTTTCCATATTTTTTTTTGTTGATATTTTTGTTGTTTCTGTGAATTTCATCCAGCATTTAGGCAACATGATCTGACATTCCTGTTTTCATGTGCCGACATTCCACTGCAACTGATCCTCATTTCCGCTGCTGTCACATAGTGATCACTCGAGCTGCCCCTTTTAGCAAAAAGCCTGCGAGCTTTGCAATGCGATTGCACCTTGTTCTTTGAGACTTGGCACATCTGGCAAGTGCCTAAGTCAGTTGGCACCGGAGCTGGACCCCGGAGGTGTGATGTCTTCGAATGACGCTTCATTCGATTGGAGTCCCTCCGAAGTGGCGGCTGAGGAACGCCGATTAGACCGGGACTTGTTTGAGGCTCCTCTTGGGGTTGATCCGACGGGACCTACAACTGGAGAAGAAGCCCAATGGCAGTGCCTTTCATGCCACTCTGCTGCATGGAGATGGGATGATGAGAAGGGATACACATGTCCTACGTGTGGTGGATGTGAATACTTCAACGTGTCACAACCTACGAAGCTCGAAACACCCACTGGAACATGGATGTATGTGCCTCATGGACCAGACTCTGTAGCAAGTGGTTCGGGTGACGCCTCTAGCTCCCCGACCCCTGTCAATCGTAGATCGGGTTTTGGTGGCCCCAAGCTATTTCATGGATACCCACCTGGTGATGCTCATGGAGGTGGATCTGAAAGAGCTGAGAGCGAGGCGCCGACCTTCGATCCGATTGTCAACCCTGATGAACCAATTCCTGGTGGTAGACGGCGCCGAAGACGTGGTGGAAGCCAAGTCAGTGAGCCTGCTGATGCACTACATGGCCCAGTTCTCCCAGATGCTGCGGTTCAACGAGACGATCCTGCAGAACTATACCAACGACATGGACATGGAGATGATATGCTTGATGTCATGCGACAGCTGTTGCATGAAAAGCGATCTACTGCAAAGACTGGTAGCGAGGCCTCATGGAATAGCATGAGAGGGCCCGCACCTGGAGTGAGATGGAGAGGCGGTGCTCCACCTTTGCCGCCAAAGTGGATCTACCAACAGTCAGATCTACGAGCCTTTGCAAAATATGAGAGAAAGGTGAGAACTTGGGAGCTTCAGGCAAAAAGCTTCATGACTGCCGCCGAGATGGGCCTGGCACTCTACACAAGCTTGCAAGGTGAAGCTGAAGCTGAAGCCGAACACCTGGAGTTATCCAAGATCAACCATAAGAATGGAGTCAGCTACATCCTTGATCAACTTCGAGGACCCCTACAACAGAAGGTGCTGTTCCAGAAGAGAAAACTTCTGGCCGACTTCGAAGGCGTTAGGCGCCACAATGCCGAGACCGTCCGGCAGTACGTCAATCGATATCGCAGAATCGAACGAGACTTACAAACTATCGGCATAGAGACCGGCAGTATGTACGATAGTGAAGCTCGTGGAAACAGAATCCTTGAGCGTTGTCAGCTGTCTCCAGACCTACAACGACTGGTGCTGATTGGAGCCGGGAATTGCCTGGACTACGAGAAGATCACGGAGTCTATGTGCATGCAGTTTCCAGACTTCAAGCCAACTCCTATGGTTTGGACCTCCAGTCACAACAGACAGCAAGCTGACAATCAGACTTCAGCATCTTCGAGCTCATCCTCCAACCGGAGCTCTACTGGCACTTTCAGGTCTTCGTCTACTGCAACGTCTTCTGGAAAAGGACGTTTCACCGGAAAGGGGAAATCACCAAAGACGTATCCCCATGGAAAAGGGTCTCCTCGCAGTGTCTTCCAAACGGAACAAGTCGAGGACGAGGCTGACAATGAGGAAGACGATGCAGAGGACTTCGAAGATGCAGAAGGCCAACCTGAAGATGGAGAAGAGCTGGAGCCGATTCCTGAAGAGGGAGACGGTGACTATGAGGAGGCAGATGTGCCTTCCATCGACGTTGACACCTTGGCCGATTTAGCTCAGGTGCTCACCGTCACCTCCAAGAAGCTTCAAGCCTCAGTCCTTGGACGGAAGTTCACCGGACGGAAGCCGATAGAAGAACGAAAGAAAACAAGCACATGCAGCGCTTGCGGCCAGACAGGCCACTGGGCAGGTGATTCAGCCTGTTCGATGTCGGCATCCAAACGCGATGGCGGTGGAAAAGGACAAAAAGGTGCTGGGGGTTCTTCGTTTTCATCTACATCCTCACCTGGTCAGAAGTATGTCAAGAAAGCCTATGTGGTAGGAGTTCAACATGGAGAACACTCACATGAACCACATGATGATGAAACCACCCCGAGCTCTTCATCAACATATTTTACCTTCACCACCAACCAAATTTTTGGGGCCGATGCAACATCAACTACATGGATCACGGAGTCCATTGACCTTGGGGGTTATATGGTTTTAGATACTGCCTGCCAAAGATCATGCTGCGGTGAAGTTTGGTTGAAAACCCATGCCAAAATCCTGGAACGACATGGTCTCAGGGTCAAGATGATCGAAAGCTCTGATCACTTTCAGTTTGGCTCAGGCAAGCCAATTGCAGCTGCAGAGCGTGCCTACATCCCCATCGAGATGGAAGGCCAGGAGACCAAGGGATTGTTGTTTGGGGTTAGCGTTTTGTCCACCAACATACCTTTTTTGGCAAGCAGAACTTTGCTGGAACGTTTGGGTTGCATTATTGACATGTTCACCAAGACCATCACTTTTGCAAACCTTGGTGTTACACTGCCTTTGACTCACAAACATGGTCATTTAGCAGTCAATATTGCGATGTTTTCAGAAGATTTGGCAAACCATCCGTGCTGGAAGCATCTCTCGCGAGATCAACTTTGGCATGAACCTGATCCTGAACTCATGTTTGCACCGGGAGCTTTCAACAAAGGCTCAATTCGTGATTTGCCGCCCCAAGCCTTGCTGCCTACGGATGTTCCGTGCGACAGCTCCAGAATGGCTGAAGCGATGGCAGATACTGTATGTCCTGGTGATGACCATCGAGATCAGGGCCTACAAAGCTATGTCGAGCATGGTGCGCTTTGGACTGGCAACCCGGTCTTGGCTGACCCTGGACGAGAACATCAAGGAGATGGAGCGTCAACGCTCAGAGGTTGTCAACAAGATGCCAAAGCAGGCCAATCCAGCGACATGCATGCACCCCGAGTACAAGAGGTACGGCAACGACAAGGGTTCGTTCAGCCGATGCAAGAGATGCCAACAGGTTTTCAAGTGGGACCCAAGTCAAAAAGGATGGCGCCCACATGGAAGTCCGCAGTCGCAAGTTTCTTCGCACTTGCCACTGCCCTCATCTTCCAACATCCTGGAGCCCACCAACAGGGGAACGAGTTCTTCGACATCGAGGACTACAACTTCCAAGTCCCGAGCGAAGCCCAAAGCCCGACCACAAGAAGTTTTCCTGCCAGCGATGGAGGAGATTTGGGATCCGGAAGCTTATCCTCCCGAGTCAGATGGCGGCGAGGATGGATACCACGGATGGGACGAAGCCATGGAGATCCAAGACTATGCATGAACGATGAGGCCGACTGGTGGGAAGTTGGCAAAAACATGGTCACGAGGGTTCACAACATGCCACGCAAAAGTCTTTTTAACATGGATGACTTCTACAATGGCGAACCTTGTCCAGTGCATGTGAAACGACTGAGCCTGGAGTGCACAGCCGAGATGAACTATGAGGATGGCAGGACACAAATGCTCACCTACGACTGGAGCACGTCCGGGGCATCCGCTATGAAACAATACTGGACTGGGAAGACCATCTTTCGCGTTCACCCTCTGCCTGAGCGACATGTGTCAACCAATCTGGAGCGGAAGAGCTTGCGACATGCAGTTCGACAAGTTGCGCATTTGCTTCAGGTTGAGCATGATGTGATGCTGGCTGGCACTACATCCTCCTCTACTTCAACATCCTTGAAGAGCAGGCCACGGGTGGATTTGTTAGAAACTTTTGCTGGACGTGCTGGAATCACAATGAAGGCTACCAAACTTGGTTTGAAAGCACTCCAACCCATTGACTACAACACCGGCTATGACCTTGAGAAGGCCAGCCACCAACAACATGTGGACTATTTGATCGACCACTTCAAGCCCCTCTTCCTCGTGCAAGGCATCGACTGCCGTGATTGGTGTCTTTTACAAGACAACACCAACTACGTGAGACGCAAGATCTTGCTTTTGATGCGGAGGGAGAAGGCCAGGAAGTTGCTACGTCGAGTAGTTCGTTGGTGTGTCAAACAAGCTGAAGCTGGAAGGTTTTTCCTCTTGGAGAACCCTGCAACAAGTCGACTTTGGCTTGAACCGCTGGTGCTGAGACTTTCAAGACTTCCAGGAGTCTATGCAGTTGTTTGCCATTCAGGCGCTTATGGCGGCACCAACTCCAAAGGCCAGATGATCAAGAAGAGTTTCAAGTTTCTTGGCAACTGCCCTTGCGTGCTAGAGCGACTGACCAGAAAACTTGATTCAGAGCAACTGCTTCAATGTGTACCTTTGGTTGGAAAAGAAACAACTCTTTCACAGCATTACCCTGATGATATGATCAAGCAGATCGTGCAGGGAATCAAACAGACCGCTGCACAACATGATCCAGAACGTTTTCATGCTTTTTCCACAACAAGTTTTCAGGTGATGGCTGTGAACACAACACCAGATGATTGGGTTCCCATTTTTGAATCTGCCCAGAAGTCCTTTGACATGACACGACAACGAAGCTATGTTCTGCCCACATCAGACACGACATGGAAGATGGTTCAACAACTTGTGCAATGGCATCAGCTTGAACGTGTGCAGATTGCGTATCAACCAACCATGCTGCGTTTGCCCTTGCACATTCCTCATACGCACCGTGGCTGGGCATTGCTCTACAACGACCAGACCGTGGAAGTTGTTGAAGAGGACCTGGCGGATGTGAGACACCCAAGAGCCAAGTTCCGCAAACCCGTGAACATTGGCATTTTCTTCTTCGGATATGCAACACCAAGTAGCCATGCAAATCAACCTGTTTCAGCACGACCTGATGGACAACCTCTACAAGAACCAGCTGAAGATGACCCACAAGCAATTGTGGCTCACAACACAGAGGGCATCACCTTTCCAAGGATGCCTGGTCTTTCACAAGATGTCAAGACCTTGCTTTCAAGACTTCATCGCAACCTTGGACATCCTCACAACAATGAGTTGAAAAAGATGCTTGCGATGAATGGCATCAAAGATCAGAAGGTCTATGATGCAATTGAAGCTTTGACATGCGAATCTTGCTTGCGTGTGAGGGGACCTGGCAAACCTGAACCTGCAGGCATTCCTCAAGATGTGAGTTTGCAGTTTGGCGATGTTTTGCAGATTGACATCGTCTATGTCAGGGACATCACCTCAACCAACTACATCTTCTTGGGCATCATTGATGAGTGCACGCACCTTCACATGGCCTTGCACTTGAATGACCGAAGTCCCGAGGAGGTGCACTACAAGTTTTCTACGTTTTGGGCCCGACCTTTTGGTTTTCCACTGAAGATCAAAGCTGATCCCGACGGAAGCTTCCGTGGATCATTTGAAGCGGCAATGGATGAAGCTGGAACCTACATGGACTACATCCCTGCCGAGGCCCACAACAAGATTGGTCTGATTGAAAGGCACAACGCCACCTTGAGAGAGCTGATGGAGAGAACCATTGATGCAAGAGCAGTGGTAGGACCTGAAGCCATGGAACAAGCAGCAATAGCAGCCTGTTTTGCAAAGAATTCCTGCACATGGTCTTCAGGGCGACCTCCTTTTGTGGCAGCCTTTGGAAGAGTGCCACGCCTGGGCATGAACCTTCTTTCAGATCAACATGGACTTGTAGGTGGTAGAACACGTGAACAAGCTCAACGCGAAGCTGACTACATGCGTGCGGAAGCACAACAACATCTGTCAGCGATGAGTGTGGATAGCAACCTACGGCGTGCTTTGCTGAGGAAGTCTACCTCCAACCAACTTCAAGAACTACCAATTGGTTCCATTGCAGCATACTGGCGATGGACTGCGAAATCTGGCAAGAAGAGAGGTGGATTCAAACTGGCTCGTGTTTTGGGCCGTGACCCTGACAACAAGAGCATTTGGCTTCAAGCAGGCACCAACACCGTGAAGGTAGCACCACATCAAGTTCGACCAGCACTTGGATTTGAACAATGGAATCCCAACTACGACGACATCAAAGCCTTGAGGTCAGCTGTTGAAAACCTCCAACATGGCATTCTTCAAGACGAGCAACTACCAGATCCACCGCAAGGACAAGAACTACCTGGTTTTGAAGAAGTGCAACCTGAGGTGCAAGTGCCTCCACCTGTTGGAATAGAAGACGGCATTCCCGAAGCACATCAACATGAGCTCATTCCTGTGCCTCGGACACCTTTGCCTGATCCAGTGCAACAACCTCCTCAAATTCAACTTGAAGAGGAAGCTACACAAACGGATCCATACCAGCAGCAGCAGACGACCATCAACATGAATATGTCGTCACCAACCTACAGACAGACCATCATCCAGAACCAATCCTTTGGTATGAATGAAGCACAGCGCTCTAGACCCACAGTCAATGTGCCTGTCAGGAAACGACATGCTTCAAGGTCGAAAACACCTGTTCGACAACTACGAGCATTGACACCACATGGTGAAAGAGCCCAACCTGCTTCAGTACGACAGTTGCCTGATGAACCTTTTCTAGAGCAAGCACATCAACCTTCTTCAGTGCAACCGTTGGCGAACCCACCTTCTGTATTGGCACCGTCCAATCCAGCCGGTGGCATAACGCCTCCACTAGAAACACCACAGACCGAAGTGATCGTGGTGCAAGATGATGATGACACTGCAGGGCAACCTGCATCGTCTCATGGACAACAAGTTCTACCACAGAGCCAGACCGCTGTGGCAGATGACATTGGAGATCAAGCTCCAACAACACCAGAAGCATTGCGGCTGACGCCAGCCAAAAGAACCTTTGATGAAGCTGCAGCAGATCAAACTTTTGATGTTTCCTTTTTGCGACCATTTCGAGATGAAAGGTCGACCAATTCAATTTCTTCAACAATGCAAGATCACTACGTCGACTTCGACAATGATGATGTCGACGGCATGACGTTGATGGCTAGAGGATTTGATGGATCACCAGATGTCTACATGCCGTACTCCAACAAGAGCTTCATGACGGCATATCGCCAACATGGCGACTACGATGGCAATGGCGACAGCGACGAATCTGACGCTGATGTCAAGGATTTCCGTGGAGAGCAAAAGCCCATTCCACCTACCTTGGCCCGCCAAGAGAAGAAAGCCTTAGACAAAGAGATCCCTTGGCAGAATATCATGCGTATGGATGAAGCCACCATCCAGCAGTACGTTGATGCAGCAAAAGCAGAAGAGCGCTCATGGCTCGACTTCAGCAGTGTGCGCCCCATTTCCAAGACGGAAGCTGCCAAGATCCTTGGAGACAAGGAACTACGCAAACGGGTTCTACGTTCCCGTGCAGCCTTCAGAGACAAGTCTAGAGGAGTTGGTCCACTACGACCGAAGTGCCGCATCGTCGCAGTGGGATGCAGCGATCCAGATCTTTGGACGCTTCAACGTGAGAGCGCCACTCCAACCAGACAGTCTGAGTTTTTGGTTTTTGCAATTTACATAGCAGGCCGAAATGGGAAGATGATGGGCAATCCCAATGCAGTTTGGTGTTTGTGGGCAGGCGACGTCAAAACAGCCTTCCTCCAGGGAACACCCGAGCAGAGGAGCATGCCAATTTTTCTTCTTCCACCTGCCGATGGAATTTGCAAAAGAGCCGACATTTTCAGAGGAGCAGATCTACTGGAAGTTGTGGGTAACATTTACGGACTTGCTTCAGCACCACGCACTTGGCAGATGCATGTTGTGAAGGTTTTGAAACAGATTGGATACCAACAATCTTCTCTGGATAAAATGCTTCTCTACTACTACCAGAAGTTTGAAGGAGAATCAGAACCTGTCCTTTGCGCTGTCATCATAGTGTACGTGGATGACTTCCTGCTGACCCACGACAGCCGCTATGATCGCAATCACCTGCTGAAGATGTTCAAGTGGGGAAGCCAGAATGAGCTGACCTTAGAGAACAGCCTGGACTTCAAGGGCAAGCGCATTTCCTTGAAGCACGACCGCAACAACAATGAGTACACCCTCAAGCTCGACCAGGAGAAGTTCATTTCTGACATGAAAGGTGGCACCGTTCCGAAGAAACGGCACAAAGAGACCTTGGATGCCTCCGACCTGGGAGAGTTTAGAAGCGTGTCAGGATGTTTGCAATGGTTGGCTGGACAGACGAGACCTGACGTTGCTGCAACCGTCAGTCTGTGCAGCCGAGGTGCAAAGTCAACATACGAAGACTTGCACAACATGTACATGGCTGTTGAGCACCTGCATCAAACAAAAGATCATGGCTTGGTTTTGCGACCCGTGCCCATCGACTATTCCACGATGATCACCACCTATGCTGATTCCAGTTGGGCCAATGCTGTTGGACATGCAAGTCAACATGGTGCTTTGATTTTGCTTTCCAGCCCTAAGGCCACCGATGTGATTCAACCTGGACTCTTGGTGGATTGGAAGAGTTCGAGATCTACGCGCGTTTGCCGATCCACTCTTGCTGCTGAAGCCTCCGCGGCCGATATGAGTGTTGATCGTGCCAGCCTGATCAACTACATGCTGAGTGAGCTGCTTCTGAACCGGCCGGCGTTTCACATTCCCTCTTGCGATTTGTTGCGAATGGTGCAGGCAACCGACTGCCGTTCGCTTTACGATGTTTTAGTTAGTGAGAATCCTCGCACTGAGGACAAGAGGACCATTGTGACCATCCGGTCGGCCCAGCAATTTTTGTCTAGGGACAATGTGTTTTGGATCCCAACAGCGATACAGTTCGCTGACGGTTTGACCAAAGTGAGTCAAAACCTGATGATCTCATTCTACAACTGGCTTCAAGAGCCATGGATCCAATTGCACGAATGCAAGAGGAATGTCAATCAACAGAAAAGTTGGAGTGTGAATTTCATCCAGCATTTAGGCAACATGATCTGACATTCCTGTTTTCATGTGCCGACATTCCACTGCAACTGATCCTCATTTCCGCTGCTGTCACATAGTGATCACTCGAGCTGCCCCTTTTAGCAAAAAGCCTGCGTGCTTCGCCTGTTGCAATTGCATTTGCACATGGAACCTTGAGACTTGGCACAAGCTGCAAGTGTCACAGTCAGACTTAGATGCTCTCTGCATGCTTACCGAGAGCAGCAAGAATCTATGACAATGTCACTTTAAATTGCCAGGGTTGCTTTCTCGTGCTTTAGTTGTTCGCCATCTACCATTATTCAAAGCCGGTCACTTGGACTTGCTGGGTTGCATCTATAGTCCTTTCCTGTTGGATAACTCGCCCCACGGTAACCGTCGAATGTTGGCTGGGCGGCTGGCTATAGATGTGGCCCACAATCACATACATTCATACGCACTCATATTTACACATGCGTTATATAATGTTATATATCAATATAGGATTGGTAATGTTACAGAATGTCAGTCAACTGCTTGTTGTTTGCACATATAACTATATACTGGTTGGTGGTTTGGAACATTGTTTATTTTCCACATATTGGGAAAGTCATCATCCCAACTGACTTTCATATTTTTCAGAGGGGTAGGTCAACCACCAACCAGGATATATATATATATATATGTATATGTATAATTATGTTTTATCAACCATAATTATGTACAATATTCATTTCTTTCAACTCTAAATTTGCTGATGAAATTCAGGTCCAGATCCGTGGCAGCGGACAAGCGGTGCTGATCCATCGGCCGTTGAAGTTGCGGCGCCTGGCACGAGTGATTCGTAACTGTTTTAAGTAGGAAATGTTACTTCAGTCTATCTTTTTGGCGGACTACTATATGTGGACCTCTCTATATATAGAATATATATATATATATATATATATGTATATATATATATATCATGTTTTCTTCACATTTAGACATGGATTGATTTTGCGTACTGTGGGTTTTAGCGGCATATCCACTGGATGCCCACAAGCAGGATCCACCATGCCGGAAACCACTGGCAAGGCGACTGTGGTAAATCAACTCAAGTAGGCGGTATACCGGTATACCTCATAATAAACCACAATTTGACAATGTGGGATGATTTATTGTACTCTTGTGGTTCCTGTTGTGGTTCTTCCATGATAACTAGGGGTTATCACATTTAAAAGTGGATTATACGCTGGGTTTTAGCGGAATTCGAACTGGGATGTACGTCCAGGTAGCCCCTTTCAGGGCGATTGGCGATGGGCCAGTTGATTGAAAACCCAGGTAGGTACCTACAAGCTGCGTCATGCTGCACTTTTCGCTGTGAACCAGGAGTGAGATTGATGTCCCTAGGAAACAATTTCCTTCAATTCACTCTTCAATTTGTACACCGATCCAAGGCAAAAGCATTACCTGGCCTTGCTGCACATCTTCGATGAAGTGTCAGGGCGCTACACGAACTATGCTTATCGTTTTCAGTCCGAGCCGCCCTTCAGGATACTGCAGGCGACATCAGCTGGGGCTGGGTGTTGCGAGACCTTGGAGTGAACTAAAATACAGTACCTGTTAATGATAGAGATAGAGTCTTGATTGTTGAAGAGATCCATTCCTGTGAGCAAAATACTAGCGGTTGATGGTTGCTGGTTTGGTCCCATTGACTCTTGCCTGAGCATCACCTTCTGATGTTTGTTGATGATCAATAGTGATGCTCGTGGGTGATCATGCACAAGGTTTCCACACATTCCAGGTGAATTCCGTGAAATTCCGGGAAAAAAAAACAACAACAACGACGACGACAACAACAAAATTTCTCCAGAACAGTTTGCCCTCTGGTAATTTTAACATAACTATTGAAAATGGCCATTTATAGTGAGTTTTCCCATTAAAAATGGTGATTTTCCATAGCTATGTTAGTTTACCAGAGGGTAATAGATTTCACCAACCAGCACCAAGCCCTCTTCAGGTGTCAGCTCCGTTGCCCCTCACAACGGCGGGCATCGCCAGCGGCCTGGCCGTGCACAACGACACGGTGCTGGTGACCTACACGGCAAGCGAGGTGCCGGAGGCGCGCGCGCTGGTGACTTGGCTTGCTGTGGGGTGATGGTTATAGAAACCCATGATATATATACATATATATAATTATATATATAATTATATATATATATATACATACTATGCATTAATATATGTATGTAATATGTGATGATATATAATAATCCCATTATGTTAAGGTGACTAGGGGAATGAGTTCGGGGATTAACAATGGGTTTGCTTCTTCTTGACTTGCATGTTCATTTTTTTGGGGGGCAGTAAGATGAACAACTTGGAATTGTCAAGGCGTGTCACGGAAATTTTACGAGAAGGATTTTGCGGTTTCAAATACTTCATGAGGTTTGCTGCTAGTTACTAGTTCAGTGCGGTGGTGTCATGCAAGGGGCGATTTTGGAAAGATACTTTTCTGGACAGCAATGGCGGGTTACAGACAACCCCCCAATTTTGTGGAACATGCTTCCCGAGACATTGGGATACCGTTTTGACTTGTGGCTTCAATGTGCAAGTTCTTTGGTCTTTCATTCTCACTTTCTGCTAAACTGAAACTGTTTTGGGCAGGTTTGGGGTGGGCTAAGGTAATGAGTCTGTCTCAGTTGGACAAGTTCTTTACTTGTGGTGAGCCTTAAGCGGCTTCCACAAGGTTCACAGGATGTGTCTAAAATGGTCTCCTGTTGCCTTTCATCAAATCTCGGCAAAATGGTTAGCTCCGTGCATCCACAAGCATCTACATATGTGATTTCTTGTGAAGGGCAATGATTTTGGAGAACTTGAGCCCCCAGATCATTGTCAAACCGACGTTTCGGATGACAGATCTGCTTTATGTTTGTTAAACTTCGCGAATTTTGTATATATAGATTCTAGATGCTTGACGCCAGGCTCTTTGAACATCTTTTAGCCAATTCTGTCACGGAGCATTGTCATTTTTGCAGGAAACTGTTGGAAATGCCGCAATCTCTGAGCGACCTGTTACAGTTTGGTGTACACGTCTTCAGTGACTTTCCTATCTATAGATAGAAAAACTGGTAAGCCACGTTTGTGACTGGCTGAAGACTGGGTCAAGCTGTTTCACTATCTGCCCCAAAACGGGGCAGCGCCGCCAAAGTAGCCGCGATCCATGACGTCGAAACCCTTATTGTACCCATGCTCGCCATTAGCTTGCGCTGAACTCCTTGAGATGGCATGAGAGAGACAGTAGCCACCGGAGTATTGCAATATTCTTGCAATGTGGATTTAGTACATGTTCGATCCCTTTCAGCCTTGCAACTTACCCCTGAAACGTTGGGTATGCTGAGGGAAGGAGTTGCGCCAGATCACTGTGACTTTCGATCCATACCTCCAGATGCCCGACTTTTTGGAAGATGGCAGCCTCTCAGTTGAACCGGCTGTATCGGCAGTGTCCTTTTGTTTGCTTGACAATTCAAAGAATAAAGGCTTCTTACAATGTGGGATCCCCAAGTCACCATAGGTTTCAATACAAAGTCATGGTCCAATGACTTGGATGATTTGGGGCTACCCCATGACTTTCAAAGCTCCTAATATACGTAATATACCAAGCAAACAAGTGTGATTGCCCAGTGGAAGCGCGACACACTTCAGGGGCAATGTGGCACGCCCAATGATTGAGTTTGGTTCATTGATCATCGAGAATCCGGCGGAAGAATCCAACAATTGCTGGTGGTTTCGAACATATTTTTATGTTTCCATATGTTGGGAATGTCATCATCCCAACTGACTTTCATATTTTTCAGAGGGGTGGCTCAACCACCAACCAGATAACCAATCTTCGCCAGCAATCAACACATGAAACAACTTGGTGAAAAACGTGGGACTACAGGGACTACACTGCGGACCAGCACAGCAGGTCTGGAGAGCCGTTTGATTTGGGAGGCCTCCAAGTTCCTTGGCTCCAAAAGTGGATGGAAAAGTGGGTCAAACATACTTACAGTAGATCAGTAGGTAGCTTCTATATCTATTTGCTATTTTGTTATCTTATATCAAGGTTGGATTTTTTTGCACCGTGTCCGACATCAATATCAGCTATGGTCAGTGGGTGAAAGTTCACAGATGTTAGCAGGTCTGGATAGTCTGAGACCATCTCAAGCGCCTAAGAACTATGTTAAGTTGCAACTGTTTGCGACTGTCTGCCTGGCAATAGAATGATAGTACGTTGACTACTGGTTGGTGGTTTGGAACATGTTTTCTTTTCCATAATATATGGGATAATCCTTCCCATTGACTATTTTTTCAAGATGGTTAAAACCACCAACCAGACTACTATTTAATTATATAATTACAGTTGTTGCCGGTGTGAATCTGTGTGAATCTCAGGTGTGTTCAGAAAACAAATCCGGATGTGTTAACGTTTGAGATGGCAGATAGCATGCCCGATGCGTCTCTATGAATATGTTGGATTGAACATTGGATCGGATTACAATGATTATAACATATTATAACCACCCCCTCAACTATAAATCATTATACATCTACATAAACCCTATATTAGTTTCAAAACCATACAAATCCACTTAGCTTAGATATGCTGATAGAAATCCACTTCGCCAACGATAGTGGGCACCACCTCGTAGGCTCCCACCTGTTTTCCACTCACAAGGCCTGGGCACTTAGTGACTCTTCTGAAGGCAAATAAGGTGCCCAGCGGTGGAGTATTCCCATGAAAATCGAGGGCCAACTGTTTGGGACATGAAAATAACAATAGTTACATATCCCCAACAATATAAAAAAAAAAAACATGTCCCATTGTTTGGGTAAGCTAGCAGTTTCAAGAGTTTCAAGATGGGCAATGGATTTGTTGTCTTAAGTGTGTCCCAACTTGCATACAATATAGAAATATCGTCATATCAAATATATTGTTGCGAAATATAATCCCGATTCCCACTAATTAAGCGATTTGAATTGAACTTCTTTCAGGGGTTGCAGAATGTTGCAGAGACATCCTGTATTCGAACAGAATGCACCATACTGGGCCAAGGATCCTAGCTAGCTGACTGTTAGAAGCAATCTTCACGTCGGCATTTCATTACAGCGTTATAATCGAAGATTGTGTTGATTAAAGCAATGTGGGTCCCGAAAATAGGGAAAACTTAAATCCACTAGTGTGTCATAATCTTCTCGTAAGAATGGCCATAAATGGGGAGAATTTCTTCCCACTTCTCTCGGACAAGCCCACATCGCAAGACCTAGGTTTCATCAAATCAATTCACTTTCCCCATTGATTGGTAAATGCCAATGTAATTTGATTTCCCTATGTGTTTGTTGTAATTCGATGCCCCCAGATTTGTTTTAATGGCCAAACATGATGTGTAATTCCATCCCCTAATATGAAACACCGCCATTCTGTGGTCCCAAATATCTGCAATTTCCCTATATTTAGCATGGTTTCTTTGGGGTGTTGAATATGAACGTTCCCAGCCCTGCTTGGCTCACGGCTACCAGGCGAATGGTACTGGACCGAAGTCCAGTTATGCCATGCTGCAGAGGATGATTGCGGACCTGGGCCTGGAGGTGGGGTCCAGAGATCTCCAGCTTTCTGATGATCGGTGATTCATCGCCAGTAATACCAATGTATAATTTTAATAATGTGTGTATATATATATATTTATATATTATGGGATTATCATATTATATAGGTCAGAAATCTGATGATTCATGACATTTCATGACCCATAATTTTCAACAAAATGGGATAATGATCCCCAATGTAAAGCATACTGTTCAGCGTGGTTGAAACCACCAGCCAGCAAGAGCACTCCAACGTTTTAACATTAAAACATGACGGCCACTGGCATGGTCACCAGTCCTCAATATGACATGAGTCCTGAAGATAGACTGGCATGGATTCTGGATGTGTGTATAGATTTCCGATACAGAAGATATAGACAGGGATGCCAACAGGTGTCTTGAATCGTGAAATATCGCAGACCTGGTTGAACATGTTGAAAGGAAACTGTTGCAGAAAACACCTACGTTGAGGGATAAAATAATGTTTCCGACTTTCTTCTGTCTAACCAGACCAATCCATTGATTGAACCTGGGATAATGATAATTCATGAATTTGTGGCTATTAACTGTAGGATATATCCCAACATATCCCGGCTACAAGTGGGTTTAAGCCTGCAAAACTTCCCAACCAAACCCATCCGCTGATTGAAACGCCTATCCCCAAGCCGACATCGCCAATATCTCCATCCCCTAGTCGTAAGTAGTTGTTGTTTACCTTATCAAACTTGTTCGATTTATATCCACCATCCATCCGCCTGTTAGCCGGCCCAACTATGAACCAGCTTGCCTACCATAAAAACTGATATGGCTCACCATTTTGTGCTGCACAAATCCATGTTCTTAGGTCGATAAATCATGGAACTTATCTACTTGAAGTATCTTCAAGTTGTTCATATATGTTCATATGCTGTTATATCACCATATGTTACCGCAGTTTTAAGTCATTTATATTTGATAAACATCAATTTTATCCATATATAAATCATATGTTCTGGGGGGTTTTACCGGGTAAACCCATCATTTTTTGGGCGACCCACGGTGCCCCGAAAAAACATCGACCCCGGGTCGAGGACGCCCTGGGTCCCCAGCGCTGTCACCGTGGCCTGACCTGTCGCTGGCGGCCGAAAGGCCGCTCCCCTGGGAGCCTGCGGAGCCAAGTGCCGCAAGCGGAGGAGGCAGCTGATGGATGACTATATGGGAATCATATATCTGGGTAAATTATAACCACCTCACTGCGACCTCACTGGGGATCATGGTTAATAAGGGGAATGATCCCCAAATGGCCTTAATTCAGGTTAGTGACATATTATAATTTGCCCATATATATATATACACACTAAATATATAAATATAGATATTTAGATACAGATATTCATGTATAGTCATCGTAGATAGAAAACCAATTGGAGTATATCTAGTACTGTATAGTTGATGATGGATTTACGGAAGAAGATGTGGAAAAACACGGGGGAAGATATGGGAATATCTGCCAAAAAATGTAGGTTTTAGTGAGAAACCGATCTATGGACATCACCCCATCAACATTTGAATATGACTGACAGGGATCCTGCATGTAAAATTCCAAATAGATGATGGGAACATGTCCCGAAAATCTATTGGTGAATCAATGTTTATCATCGGAGGTTAAGTCATGGGGTACCAACAAAAAATCATCCTGTCATGAAAGACCACGACTAAAAGTCTTGAAACCCTTGGGGATTTATGGAACATAATTTAAAATAGTCAGTGACTCTTAGTGATATCCTATCCCTAGTCTGAGTAACAGTTAGGTTCTATCACTAGCAATAGTTGGAGTTTAGTGATATCAACAACACCCGCTGGCCGGGGGGTGCCGCCCAGAGGTTTATCAGGGGACCAACTCTTAGGGTTGACTTTAGGGTTTTATGTCAGATGTAGGGTTTACCCTCTGGTAAACTATATAATATAACTATGAAAAATCACCATGTTTAATGGGAAAACTCACTATAAATGGCCATTTTCAATAGCTTTTTGTATGTTTACCAGAGGGTAGGATTTAGGGTTGTGTGTTTTGGAAACAAGTCTCATCAGCCAAGTTGCCATCTGGCCCTGCACCCTGCGCAGTTAAAATACACCGGGCAGCACCCCCGTCCTGGCCGTAACAATATATAAACAATGGAGATATCACTGGTATCACTAACAATAGGGATAGGAGATAAACAAGAGGGACAAAAGTGACAGTAGATGATGGAACAGATATGATAAAGCAATATCATTGGTTTTGGAGATGGATGAGTGGATGATGTGTTTTGTTTTTTTTCATATACGGGGAATCATGTGATTTTAGTCATGGGATGTTGGATAAAACTAATCAATGATGATTAAACAATATAATGATATCACTAACAATAGTGGGAATTGTTGTAGCTGTTTAAGTAACAATAAATCAACAATGGGGATACAGATGATGACAAATAATATATCAATCCGGCCAAACATGTTTCCATACCAACCAGCAAAATCTCAGCAGGGAATCTCAAGTAGTGAACTGGGTTTATGGGGATTCAAATCTACGTATACCAGGTGGGGGCTGGAACCAGCAACCAGAAAAACAAACTTACATAAGTTCAAGTTAATGTTAAATGAATGAACAGCATGTTTTACTGGTTGTGTTCTTATCATTCTCAACCCTTGTAGATGTTTCCACAGAACCATCAGTGTACAATGGCCTAAGCAGGAGTCCATGGTGGATTTCTCCAAGTGTGTCGTGAGTTGAGAGCACTGAGAGCGCTGAACATTGGTTGACGACGTTGCAGCTTCACTTATGCTACACCCTGCTTGGTATATGGATACTTTATAATTTATAATGGAAAATCCCATGCAAATGGATGATTTTGTGGTACCCCCATGACTTGGGAAATCTCCATATGTGCTTCCTTGTTTTGTTTGTTTTTTGACCCACATTTTCATGGGTGATTGAACCACCTATGTCAGCCCCAATGAACTTCTGTGTTGTTTCATTATGTTTCATTGAGAGGGTCCAGGAATCATTTTAACATACATTTTGTCACAGTTTATTGATGTTTATTGTCTTTTTAGGGGGTTGAAAAAAATGGTTGTTTGAGACATGTAGTTTCCGGGGTCCAAATCCCAATTAAACCGAGAGTCACCTTTTTTGCACAGGTCCTCAACGGTTCAGGGCTTGGCAAAGTCATCTCCACACTATATTCCAGTGTTTAGTATTGGAAGGGATGATGATTCAGACCCTGACAATCGATGTAGACAAATAAGTCTATAGAATAGCAATGTAGTCATATTATATGGCCACATCTACTTATTAAGCATCATAAATTTGCATGCATTTGTCGGAACTTGCCGATTGTTGTCATTGAACTCTGCGGGGTTGCGAAGCCCTCGTGCAAAGAAAAAGGTGCTGCTGATTGGGATCTGATGGGGGTGCCTTGGACAATTCGGCACACCCAATGCCATGAACATTATAATTTAAATTATAATTATAATGTTCTGTGGTTTGTATTGTTTATCCTGTGCAACGTGCAGATTGGTTCGCACATCCCATTGGAATTCTCTGTCCAGTAATTAGCTGGCGTATATCATTTAAAACATTATATATATATATTATATATATATTATATGTATTCCTTCGTGACTTTTTCTTCTACGTGTATTCGCGGTAGTTTTTGCCTAAGTGGGGTAAGTGGGGTGCTGGTTTATTGGAGGTGGCTTGCAACATGGCGCATCCCCGTTTGAAAATCTGCAGAGCACGTTCTGCGACTGTTCATGATGTCCTGTTGGGAAAGATGTTGCATTATTTTGTCACGCACTGTTTACCTATATTGGTTCTTAAGAGCTTTCAATGATGGATATTTAATACTATTCAATTTTCCTTTCAAGAAAATCACTATATTAAAAAAGTCACTCCTTCTGGGTTTGATACCGTTTTTTATTTTTAACATAGCTAAGTATATATATATATATAATATATATATATAGTTATGGACAATTACCCATTTACAGATGATTTACGATGATTTACTTACTTATCTAACATGGTGATTTTCCATAGCTATGTTGAATTAGAAAAATCCCCATGGAAACCTCCATTTGTTGATGGTTCCCTGCTGATCTTGGCCTAGCTCCCGTGGGGGATGGGATCAAGGACGCTGGCACCTGGACCCTGGAGTGGTTTGACGACTTCGACGGAGATCGTCTTGACCCGTCCCTGGGCGGCGAAGTGTAGCCGTCGATTTTTACGGCCTGGAGGGTGTCATGTCATGGCTTGACAAAGCGATGAACAATGGATGAAAATGCCGTGAAATGATGTGAAATGGAGGAAACCGGACACAAACTATGGGACAACATAATCCTATTAAAAATATTGAAAACGCACCATTTTTAGTTTGGTGATCTTGGCGATGTACCAATGTACCTATGAAAAAAACATGATTCCCATGGAAACTTATGTTGGTTTACCAGAAGACACATCACGACCTTCCAGTGGTGCCAAGGTTAAACTCAAGTCACGGAGAATGAAATTTCTCCTGTTTTAGCGTTCAACCAGGAAAAGCATCCAGGGTTTGCTTCATCATTTTGATTGCGACTAGTTAGACACCAGTGAATTCTTGATTCTGGCATGTCCTGGCACAAAAAAACCGTGTATGTTCAGAGTAAACTGTTGCTCCCTTCACATCGCAAGCCGCGTTTCTGCAGCTCCAAATTTGGCTCCAGCTGCGAGTCAGTCCTCGCCAATTCGGCCGCCACGAGATTTGGCTCCGGTGGGTGACAAAACCCAGGGTTTTTTCGCCAGCAAAAGGATGGCAAATTTGACCAACCCACACTGCAAGTCAGTGGAAGAGGTCTTGAAATTTTACCAGGTGACTCCCGAGCAAGGACTCTCCAGTACACAGGTGGAGGAGTACAGAGCCAAGTATGGACCAAATGCTCTTGAAGAACAAGAGAAACTCAGCAGAATTAGGGATCTCGAAGATCAGCTGGTGATTATATGTTGTTTACTTTTTGGGGGGATGGGTGTCCATCCGTAAATCTGGATCAATTTGTTTGCGACCTCACGTTGTGACGTCACTGGAATGATGGTGAATCCATTAAATATATTTAGATTTTAAATATAATTAATTATTCCAACATTGTTTTTTTCAAAGGAACATTGTGGGCGAAAAAACATACGGTTGCTGAATTGGTGTTGTAATTTATCCAGATGAATGGAACATGTTCAATACATGCTATGATTGCACTCTTTGAAGCGGAACATGTTTGGTTGGTTCACCGGTTCAACCTCATGACATCACTATTCCAACCAGCTATATCTTATGATCCGTGTATCGGCTCTTACCGTTCACCCCGGGGGGCGCAGGTCTGGTTTTGGCCCATTAAAGCCATCCCTATGATAGTTGTCCTGTAAGAATCAGCTCAATCTTGGATGGATACTTAAACAAAAAACATAAACAAATATATTATAATACTATACATGGGGGTGTGTATTCTAAATAACTTCACACTTGGTTTTGGCAGGGTGTCAAGACGGGCCATGATGAACATAATGTTAGTAGTACCGTAATCAGCAACTAGTGACTATAAATCAATGACACAGCCATGCAGGGTAAGATCCGCCATGATCAGAAAATCTCAATATGTTTTTTTGCGCTCAATCGATGATCCAGACGATCTGCAAGGAAAAAGACCATGCTGGAGCTCATTATTGAACAGTTCGAGGAGTGCTGAGATGTGCGGCGGTTTTACCTTGGCATTTTTCCATAGTTTCTATAAATGGATGTATTTAATACATCATCAATGAGACTTTCAGACTATCCAGCCAAACAAACAAACACTAACTTATTCCCTTACACACACACACATATATAAACATATATATATATATTATACATTCTATACAATGTCAAGTTTTTTTTGCGGTGATGGCTGGGTTCGGCATCTACCAGCCTAAAGAGTACATAGCCGAGCTCTCAGGCGATGTTGATCACATGCCTTCTGTGATTCCAAGAATTCCAACTGATCACTGGATGAAAACCGAGATAAGACTCCAAATCTTCCGGTATTTTTTGGTCTAGTTGGGGCGGCCATGTTTTATCCGATCCAGGACACCTTAGTGCGAATCCTTTTGGCTTCGGCCATGATCTCCTTCTTGTTGGCATTCTTCGATGAAAAGTCCAAGGAGGAAGGATTAAAGGTGAGCAAAGGGGCGCTGCATGGATATAGGAATTGAGCCTGATTTACAGCATCAAAAGGGGAAGTTTAACCTGCTTGAAACAAACCAGATATGGGATGATATGGGGAATTTGGATGAATTTGGCATCAACAATTGGGGGGCCAGCAACTGGTGATGGGTACTTTACAGTAATTGAAAGAAGTCCTTTATGCCATGGGGAAATCTGTTGGCATGCCCCAGTGGATTAGGAGTGAGCCGTGGCCCACACGGATTCGGATTCAGGGTCAAACTGTCAGGTTGGCATCATGGGATGTCTACCCTCTGGTAAACTAACAGTTTGCTATTGAAAATTGCCATAGAAATAGTTGATTTACCCATTAAAAATGGTCATTTTCCATAGTTATGTTAGTTTACCAGAGTGTACTATTGGATAAATCTGATCACAACCTTCATCCCGACGTCACTTGAATTGATGGCGAATACAGGGGGGATCATCCCCAAATGGCCAACCTTTTCAGGTTTGTGATGTATTTTTAAATAGCTACATATGTTGATTTGTACTTAGATTTGCGTTTTTGTCAAAACAAAGTGTCACTGTCACAGAAGTTAAACACATACAATTGGCCAGGTTATCCAGAATGAGCAGTACCTGCAGGTCCTAGGGTCCTAGGCCACATTTTTCATGGCCCCAAAGCCATAGAACTCAACCGGGATCATCAGCCGCGGCCCAAGTGGCAAGGCCTATGTGGAGCCCTTTGTCATTTTGACCATTTTGATCCTCAATGCAATCATTGCCATTTGGCAGGCGCGCCGGTGCAATGCTGACCCACTTGTTTTAAGCGTTATGTTTCAGTGGCGAAGTGCACTCGGTGAATCTCCGTGATCGCCAAGTGGCACGGCCCAGGATTCGAAAGCCGAGAAGGCCTTGGACGCCTTGAAAAAGCTGGCTCCGGAGTGTGCCATGGTCTTAAGGAATGGTAGCTGGCAGAGCACCTTGGATCGGGCGAGCTCGGCGGGGCGTTTTTTTTGCGAAAAAAAACGCATCCGGCAAACTAACGTCGATATCGAAAGAAAAGAGATTCCTGTTTGGAAAACTATCTATAGATGGAGGTTGTTCCATAATTATTTAATATTATTTATGTTTGTTTAGTGGGGGGCAACCCACCTAAATGGGAACTGCAGCCTCAAGTTGGGGATGATGTCGTAGGATACCATGAGATGGGAGGTGAGAAATGTTGAGAGTGGATGGGGATGTTTGCTGAGATTGCTAGGCATGTATGTTTGACAATCTTGGAGCGCAAGGACATGCGTATATTAAAACAACTTGATGATGGTGGTGGTACGTTTGCTTGTAATGGTAATTAATAGTAACTTGGTGGTGATGACGGTGGCGCCAGGTTCCACGCGACACCATTTGAGCCTTTCAAGTATAGTAGTTTCCCCTCTTGCAGAAGCTCATCCCTGTACCCATCCAAGGCAACACTTTTAGTTACTGGAACATGTTGATTGTAACCATTGTAACCCACCTTAAACTGTGGGAAATTCCCAACACCAGAATGATAGGGGGCAAACATGGCGTCTCATGGCGCCCCTTGACTTTGGATGGGATGATTGGGGATCATCTCCAACGGTCGATGTGTAAATGGCCTACTAAACCCTGGTTTCTGGGGCTGTTCCATGTGGGGAAGGGATTGGTTCGAGGGATATCAGGTGCAACTCTGAAGCCTCTCCACATCTCTCCCAGCACCGTAGGCATCGATGCAGAAGATGTGGTGCCAGGTGACATTCTCGAGGTGCGCGTGGGTGATAAGGTCCCCGCGGACGCACGTGTGCCTCGGATGATCATGTCCGCACGCCGTAAATGGAAAGGAGAGAGTCTCGGGAAATGTCCTTGCCAGCATTAGAAACATAAAATGCTACTCCAAACATACACACAATATATATATATATATATGTTATATGACAATGTCTATGTCTATATCTATTTGTATCTATATTATATCTTTATTATATCTACATTATATCTATATTATAAATATATATATAATATATATCTATATTATACATATTATATCTATACGATATTTTTTTATTATATCTATATACTCCTATAATATATATATATATATATATATTAAATATTATATCTATATACTATATCTATATTTTTTTTGGATATCTATGTCTATCTAGATATCTATCTCTATATTTATCTATATATATATATATATATATATATGATATCTCTGAAATCCCATTGGGCTGTTGAGGTGATGCAGCTGAAGACCACGACCATCAAAATCGAGCAGTCCCAGCTGACGGGCGAATCGCAGAGCGTCACCAAGGAGGTGGCGCCGTTGCGCGAGAGCGAGGGGAAGACCTGGGTCATCCAGGAGCGGCCGCGGAATCCACCGATATCCACCCGGATGGCTGGGATATCCTTGGATGATCGAATCATATCTTGAAAAAAACTGTGAATTCCACAAAAAGCCTCAACAGAAACAAGGCTAAGTGTATAGGTTCTGGAGTAGGTGAGTATTAAGTGAGTAGGTTTTGATTTGACACGGCCAAGCTAATTGCAGGTGCCCACTGCTGACGCCACGATGAATAGTTCCCCTGCATGCATTATAGGGTTTACAATGCTTGCTGGTTCATAGACTCCCTCAGCGACACCTACATCCATGTACGATACAAGTTACGTCCCGTACTTCGCAGTGTGAGGAGAAATGTAATCAAGTCTCCCTACCTTAATAAGGATCCCTATTCCATCTATTTTCCAAGATGACCCTTTAAACGCACAAGACCTTAAAACTCTTCCTGATATATATATATATATATAATGATAAATCACAATCCTTAAATCTGAATCAGATGATCGACCTTATTTCTGCTAATTTTAAATAGGGAGCCCACTAGAAACTGCTACTGGTTTGGTATTTTTCACCTAAACACCCGGCCCCCCATGCCCAACTCCCCAAGCCTTCCCCAGGAGAAGTACAACCTGCTCTTCTCCAGCACCACGGTCTCCAACGGTGCCTGTTTGGCCTGCGTGGTGGCGACTGGGATGAGCACCGAGATCGGCAAGATCCAGGCGGCCGTCACCAAGGCTGGCGAGGACCGGGGATCTTGTTTTGTTTTTTGTGAGTTGATTTTAGAAGTTGCTTGGTGGCCAGAGTTTTTGGAGGATGGTTTACAATCACTGGCTTTCCACATTACTTAGAGGATAACCTTACATAACCTTGCTCGGTTTTTAACTGCAGCTAACTGATGATTTGTTTGGCACCTAGCCAGGACGAAGAGCAAACGCCCCTGCAGCAGAAGTTAGATGAGTTCGGTAATTTGTTGGCGAAGATGATTGGCGTTATTTGCCTCTTAGTGTGGATGATCAACTACAAGCACCTAGGCGCGATTGCTCAAAGCTCAGTGTTTGGTAAGGTATTTGAGAGCTGGCTACCTTTGGGATTCAGACGTCTTTAGACCTGGACCCTTCTTGAAAGTTGATGAAAGTTGACCATTTGGTAGCTTCAACAGGCTATCTTTGCCCATTCCTGTGATGCACACATCATATAGGGTCATTGTTCGCAGACGAATACTATGAGGGCATCACCCTTTGGAAACGACAGGGTCAAAAAACCACGGCCGAGTGTGCCATCGGTTGTCCAACGACAGGTCGCAGAAATGGATGAACAGAACAGATGTTAAAGCCGTCGACTTTCCCGTATGTGGTTGTGTCATGACATGGATGTGTCATGTACTCTGAAATAGTTTAAACATGAAGAAACAAATGTTATAAAATGGTTATAAGTTGTATAAAGATTTTTATATAAACTCAGTGATTTCAATCAGACTTTACCATACGTTAGCCTTATCTAAACCCACCATGACCCATATCTCCGTTCCAAGGCACTTTTTCGATCCAGTGCATGGCTCGGTATTGAAGGGATGCATCTACTACTTCAAAATTGCAGTGTCTTGCTTCAGCATCATGTCTCTGAGACAAATCTATGTGGATGAATGATATGTGTTTACATTATTTAATAAAGACCTAATGACCTAGCCATGCATTACATCACTGTAATGATACGTTGGATATCTTTGGATTCAGGTAACTATCCCCAAATGCCTTTAATGATATATAATTCTGGCTAGTGAATTACCATATTATTGTCCACAATTATGATGCCCATGAATTTCAAATGTGTTGTACGTATTTACTCATTGGAGGTGGCAGTGCAAGGGGAGCAATGATGATCCAAAAGCCACAGTCTTGCTGCAGAGTTTCCTTTTTGCAGTAAGTTGGAACCTTGTATAGTTGTTTCATGTCATTTCATGTCACTTGATTTGCTCCCTAAACAAAGTCAGCACATGCAAAACCAGCATCCTTGAATTCTACCCTATTCTCTTTTTTTTTTTAACAGCACATACTTGTAAGTACTCGGGTGATACTGGAAAGTTTGAAACTTGTAGATCCCTTTGTGACCTAAATCTTGATTTGTCATGCCATGCTCAAATCTTCAGATTCTTGCCGCCAATTTGAATGCCTCACATCAGTCAAATCCCCAGTTTTCAACTAATTTCCCCACCCAAACTTCAAAGAAATCACACATTCAAAGCCAGGTTTCAATTCCTCCGCCCCAAAATCCCAAGAAAACATCACAAAAACCACGATTTTCCCGGCCCCTTGGACCACTTTTTTCGGGTCGGTTCCGTTTCGGCACATCGCAGCTGAGGTGGCCCTGGCGGTGGCCGCCATCCCCGAGGGCCTGCCGGCGGTGATCACCACCTGCCTGGCGCTGGGCACGCGACAGATGGCCAAGCGCAACGCCATTGTGCGGAAGCTGCCCTCGGTGGAGACCTTAGGCGGGACGGGATGGTGGAGTCAAGAACTGGTGCTGACTATGTATATATATACCCATCTTAGAATCTTATATATATAATACAATTATATATATATATGGATATTATATATATATAGAATATATATATAATATCCATATATATATATATATATATATAGAAGATATGCATATATATATATATTACTGAGATGTGATGATGATGATGATGATGATGATGATGCTGGTGGTGGTGGTGGTGGTGATATTTCGATTACATCTGAGACTCTGAGACATCTTGAGGATGGTGGTGGCATGAAGTTGGGGTCGAGTTATGATGAGTTATGCTGGTGATATCCTATCTATGGAGCCGGAAAAACCTAATATTGGACCCGGCGATGGCTTTGGGATGGAGTTATTGTGCTTATCTCGAAGCTACTGGTAGTTGTACGTGCTACATTGCTCAGCTATATATTTCAGAGTATATCTTCACTATTCGACTATCATGGGTCATGTCTCTACGTAACGTAGGTATAACCGGACAATCACAGATCCCGGTTCATGGTGACAAACTGTTTTGGATTTTTTTGGGGGTCACTGCAGCACATCAACCGAGGCAAAAGCAACGATGTGGACAACTCACCATTTGTAGATCGTTTTCTGAACGGGTCACCAGGGGTTTTCCACATCTTTGAATTTGTTTTGCCACGTTTTACCCCAGAGGGTAAGTGGTTGACCCCCACTTCCGTGATGTCGTGATGTCATTGATGGGTGGACACTGCTGAGAAATGGTCAAAGCCAGGCTGCACCACGGTGATTTGCTCCGACAAGACAGGCCAGAGCTGCATAGTGTTAAGTCTAGTGTACAAAATGGAAATCAATATTGATGTTTATTGGTGCAGATGAGCTTGGGTATGGACGGGTGGGGTCAGAGCCCAAAGCCTCACAGGGTGGGTGAGATGTTGAAACCAAACACTGAGGTTACGGATGATCATGTGCAAGGGCTGACCAAAAAGAACTAAGGAAGTATCCCAGCTGATCTTATTATCCCCAACCTAACCTAAGCTGCTCAATTTGTTTGTTTTTTTAGCACCTCTATTCCTTTTCCAGTCTCCATCTTTGGATCATTGACAAAGTCACCTCACCAAAAGTATTTGAACCATTCTCAAACTATTCAGTATTTGAACCAGTCTCAAACCATGATTTGTTTGCTCAGCTCGACACAGTTCACCTCCCCCATCCCAGTGGATCCACAGGCACCCTGACTACCAATGAGATGTGTGTGGTCAAGTTGGCCATGCCTGTGGCGGCGGGCAGCAGCATGAAGTCTTGGGACGTCGAGGGGCATAACTACACCCCCGTGGGCCGCGTCAGCGGGCTCAGCATTAACTGGACCCAGTCCTTAGCCCTGCAGTTTCTGGCGAAGATTGGGTGCATGTGTGCCTTGACAATCAAGTAGAGGTAAGAGCTGAAGATAGCTGAAGTGAGACTTCAGGTTTTCAGGTCATTTTGGATGAATTCGGGTATAGTTGGGATGTATTGGATCAGGGGATTAGTTTTAATTTCATGTAATTTCCATTTAGTTGCTTCAGGGTTTGCCCCGGGGTGCGCCCAAGCACACACTTTTCGGTTTTGGCAAAGGCAACGAGTCCCGACTCTTGATCGACGATGAAGAGAAGTTCATCCGAAATGGAGAGCCAACTGAAGCCGCCATCCGTGTGCTGGTGGAGAAGTTGGGCTGTCCTGATGAAGCCGTCAATCAGCCGCTAGCTTCAGTCAGTGCACTGGGTCGACAAAAGCCCAGGGTGGATTAAAAACATGGAAGGCTCAATGAACTATTGGTTACTGGTCTATCGCCTTAGGTCACCAGATAGATCAAGATAGTAAATTTGATGATTCTCTTGCTGGGGTTTCACTTTAAATCCATCCTGCTGAACCAAGAAAGTGCTTGGAAAAATGGCCCCCCCCAGGATGGCCCCACCGGTCATGGTTTGTTGCGTCTGATCGTATTCCCAGGAGATGCCTCCAAAAGGAGAAACGCTCCAAGGACGACGCGATGGCCTTCAGCAATTATTGGATGAAAGGCGGGACCGCGATGGGATCAGATGAAGACGAGCCATGACATCAGCCTGTCAACGATGCTAATGATGCTACTTTTGGCTCGGATAGTTGACCCTTTCTCAGAAACTCTGGTTTAGGATTTTTTAGGGGGTGTTCCGCAATAGGAGAGGGGGTATTCAACATGATATTGGCTGCTATACAAGGTGTATATACGTGATGTATATATATATATATATGGTGATAATCATTATTATTATTGTGTTTTATTAATTATATTATGTTTTATATTATTACTACCATTGTATTGTTATTGTTATTGTTATTATCATTATTATTATTATTACTCTGATTATTTCTATCATGTTTACTATTATCATCATTTAATGAATATTATTGTCATTATCATCATTATTTTTGAAATTATCAATTAAAACTATTATTAGTAGTATTGTTATTTACAACATGTCTAAAATCCTATTTAGATTAAATTATGTTTGAACCACCATGTTGGTTTAACCCCCATGTTCTCATATGTTCTCCACATTTGTTGATTAAATCCCCACGTTTGCGCCACCGTTCACGCAGGCATGCAGAAGCGTGCCGTCTTGGAGTTCAGCAGGGATCGCAAATCCATGAGTGTTTTGTGGCACGACTCCAGCAGTGGCAGCAACGTTCCTGGTGAGTGGTTTCAGGTATGTTTTTGATTGTATTTGTGAAGATGGGATGCTGCAAATACATGTTTTCTTTACCATCTCTACAAATGAAATGATAAAGCGCCCCAATTGCTAATCCGAACAGTCTTGACTCATCTCTTGCCTGGTACCCCAATTATTTAGCCAGGGGACCCTTAGTGAGGCCTAGATCATTATCGGGGATGCATTTTTTGGGGGTTCCTATCCTTAAAAATGGGATGAGGAAATGCCGCTCATTCTATTACAAGCTCGGGCAACTATATACATACTATGGTAATTTGAATGCGAACTCCCAAACAGACCAAACAGATAGAAAAGGAATGTGCCACACTACTAGAATTGGATTCGACTTGTTTATCTAAGCTCGGGGTTGATAAAACCCTATTGAAGTCAAAATGCATATCAGCAATCAAACATGACAATGGAAAATCATAATTCATAGATTATTTTCTTGTATTTTCCTATTTAATATGCCCAGATACAGTAGGTGTTTCCCTGCCATGTTGGCTGATTCCTTGTTTGGGTGTTTCCAGTGCGTTGTCGTCGTGACGTGTCAGGTGCTCTTCGCCAAGGGCGCCCCCGAGATGTTGGTGAAGCGATGTACGAAGATCATGATGCCCGACGGATCCGTAGAAGACTTGACGGACCAATGGCGCGCGCAGATTGAGAACGAACTCGATCAGAGCCTTGGCCGGACGAGTGGGAAAAGCGGTTTCACCATGGTTGAAGCAGCCAGAAATGGGGATATAGAGCTGAATGTAAGATTTAAGCAATTTAAGCATCCAAAACTGGGGTTGATGCAGCATCACGTGGTATTTCATCAGCAAACCGTGGTGAAAATGATGGCTGCATGGCTTAGCTGGGGTTAAAACGTGAACCATCTGGGATGGATTTGAGTGAGGAATCGTATTCGTCCATACGGACGAATCCATTGTGGGAACTCCGGAAATTCACCAACCAGCATGGGTGATAGCAGTGAATTTCAATTCCATTCAATTCCACTTGGTCCAATAAATCCAATACCCTCTGGTAAACTAACATAAGTATGGAAAATCACCATTTTCAATGGGAAAATCCACTATAAATGGTGATTTTCAATAGCTATGTTAAATTACCAGAGGGTAAATCCATGCAAATCATCCCAAATCTGGTTTACTACGTCCGCGGTGAAATCGCCGTCGCGGGGAGAAAACTGGGCTGACCCAGGATGGCACAGTCTGCCCTCCGCACCATGGGCATGGCGGTGAAGTCTAGTGACTTAGGCGACTTGCAAAGCTTCTTGGGAGCACTGGACATTGAAATTTCTGCAGTTTTTGTTGGTGAAGGTACTAGGTGGTGCCCTCTATAGTCTATAGTTATGTTTGTTGGTTTGTTACCCATTTAACTATCATACACCATAGTTTTAATAGTTTCTATGTATAATTATGTATAATAATTATATATATAATAGCACTAAACTTTGAACTTTGGGCCGACAATCTTGACCCATACCCTCCGGCATCAACGTGGCTGGCTGGACATCCATGACTGGTGGATCAGCCATGACTGCTGGATTTGTCTAGATAATCATCTCTACATGGATGGGATTGTCTTAACAATTATATATATATAAAATAGATAATTATATATATATATTATATAATACTATATATAATACTGTAATTATGTTTGCTTTTGCCCAGTGTGTGCCAGTGTGGTATTGGCAGGGATCGGAATGACTCTAACCCATCACGACGGGTTCCTAGATGTTGGGGATGCCCGGGATCTTCTATCCAGAACTGGATGGATTATATGTGTATATATATATATATATATATGTATAATATATATATATATCCAGACACTTAGATGTGTGGGGTTCAGACAGGTTTACTACAATATTCAATATTCCACTATAGAAGTAAGGTTTTTTGTTTGGCACGGCCATGGCAGGGATCAAGAAACTACCAAGGTTACGATGGATCTCACGACCATCAAGGACACCACATCTTAGCTGAGCCTTCCAACTTCATCGAGGTTGAGCAAGAGATGACTTTTGTTGGTATGGTTGGCATCTTGGACCCTCCACGACCAGAGTGCAAGCCAGCCATTGAGGCGCGTGATTTTAGCAGCTTTGGTGCGCGGTTTTGGTGCTGGTTTGAGTGAGCCTTGCTGGTGTGAGCTTGAGGGTTCATGGAGAGTTGGTTTGATGGCACGGATATCTCACTACATCACGCACTCAGACTTTTTTTGTTGGGGGGCTTAAAAATCAGATTCTTTGAATTTTTGATTGGAACAACAAACGCCCTTCCGCTACCTCCCCTCCCTTTGAACTCATTGACCCCGCAACATGTCGGGGTTTACCCGGCAGAAGTTCGGGGCCTGATGGGCCTCGGGGAGGCCTGCCGTGTGGCTGGCATCAGCGTGATTATGATCACGGGTGACAACAAAACCACGGCCGAAGCCATCAGTCGCTCAGCACGACTTAAATTACCACAATGAATGGCTTCCCACACCCATCTCAGTTCACCTAAAATTTGGTTCTGTGACATCTCATATCCCTATGACATGTATCACTTCCCTTTTTAAATACAACCCAAACGAAAGCCTGGTGAAGTATTGGATTTGTGGGGCCAATATGGGATGGGGGGTATGATATTGGGGAGAAGGGATTGCCTCAGGGGCTCCACAGTGAGGTCAGAAGTTGGGCATTTTGGCGCCTGCTGGCAGTCACAGTGAGAACTCCTTCACGGGGCAGGACGTGGGGATTATGGAGGATTTTTGATAGTGCCACATGTGAGGCCCTGATATGGATGATACCCTCTGGTAATTTAACATAGCTATTGAAAATTGCCATTTATAGTGGATTTTCCCACTAAAAATGGTGATTTTCCATAGTTATGTTAGTTTACCAGAGGGTATGGTTGTTGATTGGTTCATAAGTTGGTTTTTGGCGACAAATGGCGGGATATTCAACATGAGTAATGTTTGATTTTACTACTGCTCATGGCTATCCTAGTTGCTTGCAAGCTTTGTCGCCTGACAATGTTGGGCGGTCATTGGCAAGTTCAGCGGCAAAGTTCGCAGGGTTTGGAGGCACATGGGGGCTAAAGCACAAGAACCATTGGATTAAACAAATCACTCTAAAAATCCATAATGTGGGAAACCCAATGATAGACTCCCATTTGGGGATGGTTTATAGCACTCATAAAAATGGTGATGACTTGGGCATAGTTTATTATTGAGTTGACCACATTCTCATTTTTTAAGGGTGCCTCAGTGCCTTGCAATTTTCTCCAAATGTTTCAGGAGTTTGAGGCTTTGTCAGACGACCGAAAGGTGGAGGTTTTGAGGAAGATTATGGCGACTTGGCGGCCATGGAATTTGGACAGGGGCTTTGCCCTTGTCAGAATCCAAGACAATTGCTGTGTTTTCGACTGAAACTCATGAGGAGGCAGCATGTAGTTAATGTAGCTTCGAATGCCCATGTTGTTCCGTGTTGCTTGTATCAATTTTCGGCAATGTACATTTTCTCTGGGTGATGCTTTGTGTGTCCATATCAGTCTCTAATCTCCAAGTTTCAAACCATGTCATCCCAAGGAATCAATTTCCGATACCGGAAATTGAACATGGCCATAGGGTGTGGCAATTCGCCCGTTGATCAATGGAAAACTGTTAGATTACTATAGACTAGTAGAAGGCTTTCCTGTGGTTTCCCTATCTATGATCAATGTTCACCCCATTGGCCCATTGAAATGCCCATAAATTGGGGGATTAAATGCATTTTCCATGGCAAACTCTTGGATTTCCCAGACTAGTTTACCTTTGGCAAACTATCATTGCTATGGAAAATCACCACTTTGAATAGGTGAATCAGTAAATCAATTGTAAATCAAGTATAAATGATCCATGCTCATCCATTTTCATCCATTTTCCATAGCTCTGCGATTTTTTTTTGCCGGACGACGATGTTTAACGGTGCCGCGTTTTAAAAACGCCCCCCCATCATCCCCCGGTTCTCCAACGTTCTCCAGGAGCGCCGCGACGTCGAGGGCGCGGTCTTCTCCAGGACTGAGCCCAAACACAAACAGCTCATTGCCGCTAGCCCTGGAGAATTTCATTGGTTGGTGGTTTTATTTTTATTTTTATTTTCCATAATATATGGGATAATCCTTCCCACTGACTTTCATATGTTTCAAGATGGTTGAAACCACCAACCAGTTCAGGTTGCTGAAAAAAAACATCGAACTAAATGGTGAACTTTGTTTAAATGGACGAAATAAATGGATCAATGACATGATGAACTGTTCATGGTGCCCTGGATATTTGAAGGTTTCTGAGAAAATCATTTACTCTCCGGTAAACTCACATAACTATGGAAAATCACCATCTATATCCATCTATAAATCATCGAACTAAATGGTCGAACTAAATGGATCAATGAAATGGAAAAATGAAATGGTGAACTAATCATCGAACTTAATGGTGAACTTAGCACTTCGATTCATATTCTGTTTTCATGTAACATCTTAAGTGGCCAGAGAATTCCAGAGAATTGATGGTGGTTACATATATATATATAGATAGTATCTTGTGACTATCAAGGCTCTACATCAATATATATATATATACATATTATTTTATAATATATATATATATTGGCTATTCAACAACAATAATCAAGGTTTTATGGCTATTACAACTATGTTGTCAGATGACCCTTGGAGCAAACATGATCAAGGGCCAGCCCAGCAATCCAATGTTGTGATTTTTTTTTTTCGGAAGACACCACTAATATGGGTATGGATCAATACCTATTTTGATGTTCAACAGGGCTACATATATAGAAATCCTGACTTTGTAAGTATTGGATCTATAGCGCTATGTTTACAGTATATTTGAGTCTCATTTCAGAAACATACGAGCCTGTTATATAGTTGTCCAATATCCCATGCTTTGTTGGTGATAACTTCCATTATTGCTGGCGGGTTCAGGCCCGGAAGAGGATCCCGAGATATGCTCGAAAAAGTGTGGCAGAAAGAAACCGTTTCCAAACTCTCCACCTCACACGGTGGGCCAAGAACTATTGGTTCAGGAGGAATATAAATTATAGTCACCTGTATCCAAAGGCTTTACCAACAAACATCACTGTCAAAAGCCCCCACCTTAGGTGAAGATGGGATTTTCCATGGGATGTCACGGAAAAAATAGGGACAAACCTATGCCTGGCTGCCTTGCGAGGTAAAGATTCTAAAGTCCTTGGACGAGATCGCCGCCATGACGGGTGATGGTGTGAACGATGCGCCTGCCTTGAAGCAGGCGGACATCGGCATTGCCATGGGCATTGCCGGCACTGAGGTGGCCAAGGACCCGGGGGAGTTCAGCCAGGGTGGCATGGGAAGATAGTGGGACAAATACCCTCTGGTAAACATACAGTTTGCTATGGAAAATGGCCTTAGAAATAGTTGATTTACCCATTAAACATGGTGATTTTCGATCGTTTTTTGTAAACGTTTACCAGAGGGGAATCAATATGTAGTGTAAATATGTGTAAATGGAAGACGCCACAGCTCAGATTAATTAGTGAGTAATTGCATGTAGTTGCAAATTATCCAGATGATTGATTGTGATCAACTTACCCCGTTTTGTTCGATGAGATTGCCATTGAAATGCCCATTCAGTTTGGGAATTTCCAGCTAGCCATGTTTCACTACCGAAGGGACCCCCAAAAAATGCCAGATAGATGAAGGTTCATTTGGAATGGTGCCATGCAGTTGTACTCCATGCCAACCCAATTGAGTATCCCGATAGTCGAACTATTTTGTCACCAAAAGTCAAGGTTAGAACATGTCCCTTTGGTAGTCAAGTATGGGAATGGAAAATCCACCATTTATATATATAGGTAGTTTGTGTTGTTTTTGTTGGGTGGTTTTCATAGTTTTTTAATTGCCATGTTTGATCATCGGAGGGTGTGCCCATGTGTGCCCATTAAATTCAAAATGCAATCTGAAAAACGTTGGGTTCCATGTTCTAGGGGCAAACACTCCACAAGGTTATGCAATAATTATAGTATCATAGTAACCCCCAAAAAAGATCAAGAAAGATAGACAATCAATTTATGGGATGACTTTATATAACCCAATAATATAGATGTGTTTTTCCCCAAATCTGCTAGATCTTAGCTCGCTTGGGACTGGCGGCACCCACATCCCCTGGCGCACCTTGCAGGAAGCCTCTGACATGGTCTTGGCGGACGATAACTTCACCAGCATTGTGGCGGCGGTGGAGGAGGGCCGATCCATTTACAACAACATGAAGGCCTTCATCCGCTACATGTGGCTTGGCCTGGGCCATTCTTGGGGCCTGAAAGGAGATATAAAAGGAGACATGAAAGTAGACATGAAAGGATATAAAAGGGATATGTGATTAAGAAGTAAAACAGACCAATCTGGAAAATTTGGCAGGAGTCTTTGTTGACTTTGGATGAAGATAAGCATGCCGCTTGGGTTGCCATGATGGGTGAAATGGCTTTTCATGGCGAGGCTGTGGATCCCGAAGATTTAAGGATGGTTTGGTTTGGTAGGTAGATCGATATTATATATATACATATATATATATATATATGTATATACTATTTATATATATAATAATTATATATATATATATATATATTATACATTTTTTTAGAGATAGATAGATAGATAGATAGATAATATATATATATACATATGTATGTTGAGGAAATAGATGAACATGCCCTTTGGTAATCAAACGTGGCACTATAAATTATATACGTTCTAATGCGAATATCATATATATATATATATATATATATGGGACATTTTCTTTTACCATGTTTGACTACTGGAAGGTAACTGGTAACCATCAATTGTGCAGTGTGGTGCCCCAGGTTGTTAGCTACTGCTGGTTGATTAGTTTGATGTTTGACCAGGCCAACGATTGGGTGAATGGCAAAGATTTATACGTAATGCAGCTAAAAATCCAACGTATAACGTGGGGCACCAGATTGTGGGGGAAGTAAGGGGCCAGGCATGCTAAAGAATGAGAAGATACTCACCAAATCTCACCAAATGGGGAGCTCAGGAGCCTATTACTATTACCCCCAAGAATCAAATGATGGCTGGACGGTAAAGCGGGAGCGGCAGGAGAAAGACAGGTGCAGATTGTTCCCTCAATTGCTGGGAAAGTGCTGGCACGATGATCCCCAAAACCATTTTCCAGACTACTACCATACTAGCACCATACTAGTACCAATGGAATATCAGCATTTAGAATATAATAGTGAGGTGGATAAGTCCATCTATACCTGTGTCCGCGATGATGTAAAATGACCCCCAAATAGTTGGTGGGACATTTCCTCTGAGTAGTAAATCTGTTTAGCCAGTGAAACAAGATAACAAATATTGATAATGACAATTATTAATAATCATCATGATAATAATATATATATATAGCAATAATATTGATGATAATAACAATAATCATGCTAATACTAATTAAAACCAATGATAATAAGAATAACAACAACAATAACAATAACAATAATCAAAATAATTATATATAGCTATTTATATATATATATATACATACATGCATTTGGAATAAACATAGACATCGTAAGCACACCCACCCTTTTTTGTGACAAATGGGGGCTATGAATGGCTATGACCAGTTGGAATACTGTAGGAACATCATCCAGGGCAGATCTATGCTGTGTTCCCCGAGGATCTCTTCGAATGTTGGTGAGGTGGCCGCAATTTTCCTCACGGCAGCACTTGGGGTGGCTCGGTAGATGGCTGGGTGCCTGGCAAAAGACTCGACAAGTGGAAAATATCGTCATATGATTAAAGAAAATATGAAAATATATGAAATTATGTAATTGTAAATTATGCGTATAGAGTGATTTCGTAGATATAGTCATATAGTTTCTAACTGGACATTTTCCAGTTGGCAAATCGCGTGACTTTTTTCGGTGAACCATGGAACTTCATGGACCATTTTCGCAATTTCTGTGGTGCCTAGAATGGGCCTACCCAGTCCGCTTTATGAAGGGCGTATCTGAAAATCCTGCTTAATATATTTTACAAAAAAATCAAAAGATTGCTTTTTGCAATGGATACTCGAGTGGAACCTACGGATGTCATCTATTGGATACAAAGTGTAATGAAACGTAAACCTATTGAAGATGGACCTTGCAGATTCTTAACCAAAGGGGTTCGCCAGAGGATGCCAATACATTTTGGATGTGTTGGAATGATGGTTAGCATAGAAGAAACTATTGCAAAACACATCAAGTGAACGAATTACTAGCATCTATCCAGATCAGATTGGGCTACAGCCTTTCTTTTTTCAACAAATTGATAGAACCAATCGTAGAAGCACCAATCGAATGTTTGACATGTGCTCTTTTCGTCAAGCTTGCCCGGGTTCCACAGACCGAACAACGGATGGAAACTACAACCAGATAGCTTGCATATGTTAGGCCCCTGTTTGAAACCGTTCAAGTTTTGATAGCCACCCGTGACGGCAAATTATTTGTGTTCTGACAAATGCTGCTGCAACCGTAGGGGTACTTAAAACGATGGATGATAATTTCAAGAGTTTTTGTTTCCATCCGAAAACCCAGCTTGCAGAACCCATAGGGTGTTACCCTTGGCCCTTGACATTGCATTTTGGTAATCCAACAATATCTAAGATAGCGTTGATTTGTTTCCAGCGTTTCTATATATAGTCCATGTAAAAATGATTGTCTTATTCAGTGTGAGGATTTCAGATTGCCATGCGTGGTTGCCAGCCGGTAGTTTGTACCAGTTAGATATATTGTTGATGGTAACATTGTAACATCTACATTTGGGTTACTAAAATCTATATACATGTCACGTCATGTCACATTCTCTTTTTCCATTTTGGGGGCTAACCCATTTCATGTAGTCATCCAGTTTAATTGTGCCATAAGGGCAAGTTTCCATAAGGTGCCAACGGTCAACTCATGGGCTTCATGTGGATCATGATGGATTGTCACCTTCGGGATCCCCACGCAACCAAGTGATGTGAGTAGCGGGTCAAGGTGGCCTTTAAGTTTTCTGTGCATATTTGCTTTCGGCTTTCGATTGATGTTGAATTTTGCGGTATTTTTTGTATTTGGTGAAAGGGATGCTTCATACATTGGTTGATTCTCACTCCGGATCCCCCCAAGTCGCCAACTCAGTTGGGAGTTAGGCAATGTCCATGGTATGCGGCATTTTCCCGGCTATATAAGATAATTTAACATACTATAACATAATATAATATGATATGATATGAGTATAAATTATATATGTATGGGTATTGTTATATAGCTTATCAACAACTTTCTGACCAGGATGCAAATCCATTTATGGCAGTTATATCAGTGAAATCCAATTTTGAGGGGTTACTAAATCATTGCTGCCATATGCCATCCTATGTCAATCTAGTTGGTTGCTCACCATGTACTTGATATTTGCTATAATATGTTTTCGATTTATGTTGTTTTTGTATTTGTGGAGAGAGATGGTTCATACATTGGTTGATTCTCACTATGCACTTTATATCACTTATTCCCAACAGCAGGGCCTGTTGGGTTTCAATCTCTAGGGCTGGGGCTGGCTCGCGGGGACTTGCAGCCTTCAAAATCCGGAATGGAACCCTGGAACCCTGGAACCCTGAAACCTTGGAACCTCGGAACCCTGGAACCCTGGAACCCTGAAACCTTGGAACCCCGGAACCCTGGAACCCTGGAACCCCGGAACCCTGGAACCCTGAAACCCTGGAACCTTGGAACCCTGCGACCGTGGAACCCTGAAACCTTGGAACCTTGGCAAGGATTCTGGAACCCTGCAACCTTGGAACCCTGGAACCTTGGAACCCTGCAACCCTGCACACCTGGCACCCTGCTGGGATCTTGGAACCCTGAAACCCTGGAACCCTTGGAACCCTTGGAGCCCTTGGAACCCTGGAAACCTTGGAACCCTGAAACCGTGGGACCCTGGAACCCTGGAACCCTGAAACCTTGGAACCCCGGAACCCTGGAACCCTGGAACCCTGGAACTCCGGAACCCTGGAACCCTGAAACCTTGGAACCCTGCGACCGTGGAACCCTGAAACCTTGGAACCTTGGCACCCAGGAACCCTCAAGGATTCTGGAACCCTGCTACCTTGGAACCCTGGAACCTTGGAACCCTGCAACCCTGCACACCCGGCACCCTGCTGGGATCCTGGAACCCTGAAACCCTGGAACCCCTGGAACCCTTGGAACCCTGGAAACCTTGGAACCCTGAAACTGTGGGACCCTGGTACCCTGGAACCTTGGAACCCTTGAAACCCTAAAACTTCCAAACCCTAAACTCTATGCGCGCTGCGCGCGCTGCGCGCGCTGCGCGCGCTGCATGCAATAAAGTAAACCCTGATGCGCAGTGCGCGCGCTGTGTCCCAGAGAAGTAAACCCTAAAATTTCCAAACCCTAAACCATCGTGTTATGCAACTTCCAAACCCTAAAGTTTAACCCGCGGTGTGCGCGCTGCATGCAATAAAATAAACCCTAAAACTTCCAAACCCTAAACCCTAATGCGTGCTGTGCGCGCTGCGTGCCAGAGATAAACCCTAAAACCTTCAAACCCTAAACACTAATGCGCGCTGCGCGCGCTTTGTGCAATAGAAATAAACCCTAAAGTCTTCAAACCTGAAACTCTCGTGTCATAGAGGTAAACCCTAAAATTTCCAAACCCTAAACCCTAAACCCTAACGCGCGCTGCGCGCGCTGTGTGCCATAGAAGTACCCCTTAAAATCTCCAAACCCTAAACCATCGTGTCATGGAGGTTAACCCTAAAACTTCGAAACCCTAAAGTTCAACCCACGCTGTGCACGCTGCATGCAATAAAATAAACTATAAAACTTCCAAACCCTAAACCCTAATGCGCGCTGCGCGCACTGCGTGCCACACACATAAACCCTAAAACTTTCAAACTTTAAACCGTAACGCGTACTGCGCGCACAGCCTGCCATAGAGGTAAACGGTTAAACTTTCAAACGCTGCGTGCCATAGAGGCAAAGCCTAAAACTTTCAAACGCTAAACCGTAAAGCAGGCTGCGCGCGCTGCGTGCCATAGAGTGCTCCTCAAAAGTGATTACATGTCATACTTTAGTGGCATCCTCCAAATTCATTAGTCAGCCTTTGTTAATCCAGGGCCCATTTTACACATGTCATCTTCTTGGTCGTGGCGCCATTTCAGGATCACACTGATGACCTAAGCTTTGGCCTTAACTATTATGCAGGCAAGCGACATCAGCACGCTATGGTATTGGAAGACACAGGGTTTGCCCGTAGACCAGCCAAAAAATCGATTTTCCACACTGAACAATTGGATTTAACACATTTAGAATAGGAGCTCCGCCTGATTCAGATTTCATCACTTAAAAGGTACCCATGCCTGACTAGCCTTCATGACTTAAAGCGTAACCACACCCGACTTAAGGGAACCATGCCTGACTAGCCTTCATAATTAAGAGGTACCCACCCACGCCTGACTTAACAGAACCCATGCCTGACTAGCCTTCATAATTAAAAGGTACCCATGCCCCTGAATTCAGGGAACCATGCCTGACTAGCCTTCACAATTAAAAGGTACCCACTGGAACCATGCCTGACTAGCCTTAATGACTTAAAAGGTAACTACACCTGACTTAATACCTGATTTACTGGTTTTGCCTGATTTTGGAAAAACGCAGGGCCGGAATTTGCAGGGCGCGGGCCGGAATTTGCCGGGCCCGGGCCGGAATTTGCCGGGCTGGGATTTTGGGGTCGTGCCTAAATAGGATTTTTGCAAAAATCGTGCATGACTGAAGGGAACCATGCCTGACTAAACATCATACCAATCATCCCAAAAGAATCCAATAATTCCAGCAAGTGATGCCTGACCAATCCCTGCGTCATAATAAACCGTCTGCCCCTCCCCACCCAATAATGAACACACGGAATAGTTTTTTGTATTTAGTGGGTATTTAGTATGAGGGTGCGAAACTTCCCCCTTGGTTAAAAAAAACTAAATTGGAAAACATTTTTTAAATAACATCTAACTAAAATATTGCCAAAATTGGATTCCGAAGCTTCCCCCTGACATTAAATTGAAAACATTCGTTTAAAAAATGAACTTTATATTTCAAAACCGATTGAATTCCTATTCAAAATCTAACTCAAATCTTGCCAAATTGGATTTCGAAGCTTCCCCTTATATTAAATTGAAAACCTTACTAATCCCCACCTCCTTTTACTAAACGTACCCTAAATACTAAAATATTACATTGATTCCTTTTACTAGGGTCCGCGTTAAATTTTGGGAAATTTCAGGCTGGCCAGTTTGACTTTTAATTGATACCTTTTCAAAAACAAATTAAACATGAAGGTCCCATTTCAGGATTTCACCACCAAAAAATAAAAACTAGTCAGCCCCGGTGATTTTTTAAACTAGGGTCTTTTAAGGTCGAAAAAATAAGTATTTTATATTACAACGTTTATATAATATTGGGGGAAAACTTCGAAATCCACTTTTTGGCATTTCCTGGCAATATTTTTGCTGGATGTCAAAAGGAAATCTAATCGATTCTTGAAATCGAAAAAACATAGTTTTTTTTTATTAGTGTTTTTAATTTAATCTTAGGGGAAAACTTCGAAATCCAATTTTTAGCAATATCTTAATTATATGTTAAACAGAAAACTAATCGATTTTGAAACAGTTTTTTTTTTAAATATATTAGGGCTGGTAATTTAATATTAGAGGAAACATTTCGAAATCCGGTTTTTGTTTTTATTTTTGTTACTACAATTTAAAAGGAAATCGAATCGATTTCAAAAAAGAAAAAATAATATTTTATATTAGGGTTTTTTAATGTAATATTAGGGGAAAACTTCAAAATCCAATTTTTGACCATATTCTAATTAGATTTCAAAAGGAAATCTAATGAATTTTGATATAGAAAAAAAAGTCTTTGATATGAGGGTTTAATATGAGGGGAAAGCTTCGAAATCCAATTTCTGGCAATATCTTAATTTGAATTTACAAGGAAATCTAATCGATTCTGAAATAGAACAAATTTAGTTTTTTATATTGGAATTTTTCATGCAAGATTAGGGGAAGCATCGAAATCCAATTTTTGAACATATTTTAATAATTAGATTTTAATTTGATATTAGGGGAAAGCTTCAAAATCATTTTTTTGTTTTTTTCATTAGATTTCAAAAGGAAATCTAATCGATTTTGAAACAGGGAAAAAAACAAAATGATATTAGGGTTTAATATAAGGGAAAAGCTTCGACATCCAATTTTTTGGCCATATTTTATTTAATTTTTAAAAGGAAATCTAATCGATTTCGAAATAGAAAAACATACATAGTTTTTTATGTTGGTGGTTTTTATTTGATATTAAGCTTCGGAATCCACTTGTTTGCCATATTTTAATTGGATTTAAAAAGAAAGAAATCTGATCGATTTTGAAATAGAAATATGTGTATATATATATGTGTGTGTTTTCTATCAGTATTAGGGGGAAGCTTCGTACCCTAATACTAAAGACCCCCCCAATACTAAAAACTCCTCCAGGTGTTTGTTATTTGGGTGGGTGGGTGAAGGGGCGACTGTTTAGCAACAGGGGGAAGGGATTAAACCGTTTTTTGTTTCTAATTTCAAAATCCATGAAAATAATCTTTAAATAGAATACTGCCAAGAATAGGATTTCGAAGCTTTCGCCTAGTATCAAATAAAACACCAACACCTGAATTAAAAAAACTAAAATTGACGATTTTAAAGGACGGACCCCAATAAAAGACACCCCGGTGTTGACTAGTTTTTTATTCTTTGGGGGTGAAACCCTCACATGGTACCTTCATTTTTAAAATTGTTTCCTCAAGGGGATCAATTAAAAATCAGATTAACCAATTTGACATTTCCCAAAATTGGAAATCGCACCTAGTTTTTGTCATTTGGGGGTATTTTTCGTAATAGGGAGAAAGGATTAGCAAAAAGAATGCCTGATCAAAATGATGCTGATTCTGTGTGTTACAATCTTTTTGCCCACTACAGTGTCTACAGGGTTACAAGGGATGCCGTGCCAGCTAGAGTCCCAAGTCCATTCAACCAACACCCTAATCGATGAAGTTGGACTTGTTGAAATGGAAGTGGGACTGGACCAGTTGACATGGGGCGTGCTATTCTTGCGTCCGTCTCTCTGCGACATTTTTCAAACAATTCAATTTCTTCAGGTCTGTACCATTTTCCGTTCGTCCACCTTTTCTTTCCCTGACCTTCAACGGGAGCTTCGGCGCCTGAAGGACAACAGTTTGAAAATTCCGAACCTGAAATATATTTTCAAAATTGCCTTACTAAGAGTGATCCCCACCCTGGCACACTATTCTGACATAGTTTCTGACATATCATCTGGACGTATATGTGGCATATATGTTCTGACATACTATCTTACATTCTTTTCTGAGATTCTATTTGACATTCTTTCTGGCATCCTATCTGGCATCTATTCTGACATACTTTCTGGAATATACTATATTCTGATCCTGCCTTGCCATGAGTTTGGGCTGGGAGTGCTTTTATTTGCGTGGATCAATGCCAATGGCTTGAATATCCACCAAATGTTGGTTTCACATGTTTGCACCCAATGATTGCCATTACCATTGATACCCCAAAATGGCCAGGTCCTGAATTTGAGAGTAGGTCCTGAAAAGTTTTCTGGGTACTGAAAAAACAGGACTTTGGCACAGGGTCTGAAAAAAGACGTAGGTGGAAGATTCAGGTATGCTGTTGGGTTGCAAAGCTGGGTTAATGATCCCCAGGTTCGCTTCTTATACCCCAAAGATGTGAGGTGCCGGAAGGCCTTACGCCAGTGCAGCTCCTCTGGGTGAACCTGGTGACTGATGGTCCGCCAGCCACTGCCTTGGGCTTCAACCCACCTGATTTGGACGTTATGAGCAAGGCATGCCGCGGGAGATGATCTCGTTTGTTGAAGAAAGACCTATGGAAATCCATAGGCCAGGTGGCTTAAGAATGCTGAAGAGACATTTTAGGACACTTCGACATATGGCTTTATCTTCCAAGAAAACCAACCATTGAGGGAATCCTTCCGGGACACTGATTTACCATATGATGGACTATAAAGGGGGATACAATAGGAGAGAGAGAGAGAGAGAGAGTTATATATATATATATATACATAGACCAAGCAGTGTCACATATTGATGCAATAGTCCAATTTGGTTGGCTCACTCCCAAATGCTGCGCGTTAATACCTCCGACAGGAAGCAATCAAATCACCCCCACCACTTTTCTGCTGGTTGGTTGATGCATACTTGGGGGGCGCAGTTGGGGGTAAAATTGGTCATAGCCTCGGTAAGTTGGGATGTAACCCCTAGAACTATGGTCATATACCCACTTACATGTGCAACTGCCCCCAACAAAAGGAGGAATATCCCAGCAAACAGGTAGTGACTTCAATACCTTAAGTATTCTCCAAATGGCTTAATTAAGTTCAATGCATGGGGGCATGTGGAGTTGGATGATGACATGAATATAGCCTGAAGGAGTCACCTCAAATGGATAGATTCGCTACTTTTCCGGGTTTCAAAGATGGTCTATATTTGATATGTTTTTGTGGGACAGATTGGAATGATGGTGTAGTTGGTATTGGGGAAGCCCATCAATCATCAGCTCGATTGCACCAAAAACAGTTATCTCTAGGTGGAGATGTGTGAGATAACGGGGGGGTTCAGCTATCAGAAATGCAGACCATGATGATCCATGATGAATCTGGGATGACATCACAACAGTATGGCCAGCCCAATCGACTGGTGGTGGCTGTTTGGCTGGTGCTTCAACCCTGGAACTTTTGCAGGAACCCCCACCCATATTTTGAAGGTTTTTTTACCAGCCATTTTAATTGGTGATGAACTCATCAAATTCATCTATTGAATCTATTGGTGATGATGTGCTATTGCTGTACCAGATGGTGGTCCAAAATCCGAATGATAACTATCCAACATGTTACCCTCTGGTTATTTAACATGGCCATGGAAAATCGCCCATTTATAGATGGTTTACCTATTAAAAATGGTGATTTTCCATGGCTATGTTAGTCATAACCAGGGGGTACTATTTATCATATTGGTGGTGGTGGATCCTGCTTCATCAAAGGATAGAAACCTGCAGCGCTCGCTTGCCTCGGCCAGGCACCTCGCCGAAAAGACGATCCCTTGATTTCAGTGTGGTCCTACGTGCGCTACTTCGTGGTTGGCGCCTACGTGGGTTGCGCTGTAGTTGGCATTTTCATGTCTCCTGGACTTAAGTTGAAGATTGTTGGTTCAGTTTCTTGGTGGTTAATACGATCAGTTGTTTCGGAATGCATTGGAATACATAGTCTTGTAACGTCTTGTAGATCCAACAATCTATACATTCTATATCGTGTAATGTACCATATGTTTTTTTTGAAAACATACTGTCGACTACTGTACTGTCCTTTATTTAGATGGGGCTAGAGAAAACGAATGAACAATATATCAATCTATTGCCTATAATTATACAATTTCATATATACATACATACATACATACATACATACATACATACATACATACATACATACATACATACATACATACATACATACATACATACACACATACACACATGTAAACACGCGCACACGCAATGACCACGCACAAAGGGACACAACAAAAACAAAAACACACACACACAAACACACACACACACACGCAATGACCACGCACAAAGGGACACACAACAAAAACAAAAACACACACACACGTATCAGACCCACCCCTGGAACCACGCCACCAACTCCTTGAGGTATTGGTACATCTTTGATGTGGCGGAGGATGCTCATAGCTTGGTCTCTTTGGAGCAGCTTTTGACCTGGGGAAGCTGCCAAGACTGGCAAGGCTTCAGGGTCAACAACGTGGGTGGGATCAGTTTTTTGGCTGCAGACAGGCTGGAAGATCAGTTGAATGTTTTATGAAGTTTTGCTGGTACAAGGTGGTACCTCAAATAAAACCCCATAGCTAGGTAACCAGGTTGGTAACAAGATTAACTCAGTGGACGGTTGAAGAATTGAAGCCGGAAACCATGGATGCTACCATTAAATCTAGGGATTTTTTCGGCCACTCTGGAAGGGTGACGTTTGAAGGAGCCATAAATGTCCCTGAGCCTCTGAACGTTCAAAGTTGTGTTTTGCGTATAATTCATGGCTGTTGGAAGAGGTGAAACATTGCAAGCATTCGTTTCAACATGTTTCAACAGTGAGCAGAACAGAACCAATTAAGCTGTCGCTGCCCCTGGCATGGCTGAGGCTTTTCGTCTGACCCATGTGCATACTTCACAGACGGAAAGGCAAAAGCATCCACACTTTCGTTGACAGTTCCTTGCTGGCAACTCTTGTGGTCATTAGTCGGCTCCACTTTTTCCGTTGGAGCGGGCAGAATCAAGAACCCCCAAGGCCAATTGGGTGTCAGCTTTAACTTGGCAACTTGTTCCAATATTTCGCCCAGGATCAAATCAGGTCTTGGACGGTCTAGAAGCATGATTTTCCTCATGGTTTTCCTCCCTATGCCCAACTCGCATGCAAGTGTTATTCCCTTTGGTTTTCAATGGTTTTTACATGGGATTTTCGGAATGGGTTTGTCTGAAAATGTGAAACCCCAAATTCACTGGTTAATGAGTATTCTGTTCCTGTTGCAGTCTCATTTTTGGGGTACATAAGCCATTTTCAGACAAACCAATGCTCCATGGTTTCTATGTTCACGGGGAAATGAAATCAGAGATGCCGTTTTTGCCAAGCAGGTTTTGGTGGTGATTGAGATGCTCAATGCCTTCAACGCGCTTTCCGAGGATGCTTGGCACCTGCCCGGGGGTTGTGTTTCGGTTGCTAAACACATGTTGAGCGGTGATTGGTATGATAGGCTAATTTAGTCAAGTTGGAAAATACGTAATTCCCGGCGGAATTCTGATGAGAGATTCCAAGGTCAGATGTTTAAAAAAAGCAGAGTTGTTGACAGTATTACTGGATGTTGCGGTTGAGAACCAGCCCATGTCATTTTTGGTCACTCATTCATGGTTCCATGGTACACGCATCCGTTTTTGCATTCCGCAAGAACCCACGGAACACATCTCCAATTTTTCTAGCGACGTTGCGCTAGCACTTGTCTATAGTGAAATGGTCCTGGGCCTAGATTTCTCAGAGGTACCCTCTGGTTATTTAACACAGCCATCCAAAATTGCCCATTTATAGATGGTTTACCTATTAAAAATTGTCATTTTCCATGGCTATGTTAGTCATAACCACATGGTATCCATAGAGCCACCCATTGGCCGAGGATGGCTCACTAATTCAGATGCCTCCCTGGGCCAATCCTTATCTCATCGTCGCTGCCACCATTTCTATCGGCAACTGGGTAGCGACGAGTTCCGGGGGAGACGATGGGTTTAGACGGGCGCCCTTGGGGGTTCCAGAATGGGATGAACATCCGAGGATGATCCTGGGTGTCTTATGACTAGGCATCCCTCAGCTCTGGGGACCTTTTGAGTGTTCTGTTTGTTCCTACGACCCAGTATATTAATTAAAGATGTTAAATGTATGTATATATATAAATATACAGTAAGCAATTAGGATTGAGTAGGATGGGGTTGGTGCGTCCATCACAAGTTTGCTGATATCTCTGTGGTATGGTTTGGTACTAGGGCACTAGTTGGTTCACTGCGCAACTAATAGCACCAATATATGCAGGAATCCCAGATCGCGGTGGGAACTCAACATGGACAACTTGCAAACAACAACCCTTCAAATCCTTTCAACTTTTTTATATAGAGGCAATCAGATTGACCCTAACCTATGTCGTTTTTTATGTTGCTTGCATCATTTTTGTTACAATTTCAGGCAGCCATTTCGTCATTTTGTACATCCCAGCCCTGGCCACCATCTTTGGCGTGGTTCCCTTGACAATGCACGACTGGATGCTGGTCATGGCCTTCAGTTTCCCCGTGATTTTGATCGACGAGATCTTGAAGTTCATCGGCAGAAGCACTGCGCCTCGGCCGGGCGAAGCAGGATGAAGGTGGGAGCCCCAACAAAGGGAATTTGTTCCTTAAGAGATATTGAACCTGGTTAATCTATGGTTAATCTATGGTTAATCTATGGTTAATAATGGTTAATAATGGGAATAACAATATATCTCGTTGGTGGTTTGGAACATGTTTATTTTCCATATATTGGGAATAATAATCCCAACTGACTAATATTTTTCAGAGGGGTTGAAACCACCAACCAGGAATGTTATTGAAAATCAGCATTCTTAGGAGGTATATATCATCAAATGGGCCATTTTTGATCATTTTCTATGGCTATGTTGGATTGCCAAAGGGTAGTTGCTGTTTGGCCCCTGCCACATTCTAGGAAAAAAACACATGAAAACACACCATTTGTCGATGCCTAAACAAAAAGGACCAGCGAACGACCCAGGTTGATCATTCTGTTGTGTAGAATAGTATCAAGCCATGAAAATTTGACATGGATGTCCAAGTTTGAGCACCTAAGGAAGCACGGGTACTTTGGTCGACTGATTGGTGAAGTACATGGCAAACAATAGCAGATGCTAATTGCCAGTCAGATCCAAAAAGTGGATAGGGGATACCTTCTTGCTACACCCCAAAAAGTGGATAGTGAATAGTTTATCCTAAAGGTTTATCATATCCTATAACCCCTATAACGCATATACATATATGATACATATATGATACCTATAGTTGTAGGGGTATATATATATATGCCAACTAATACGGGTTTATATATATATATAACATTTTCTAACAATGTTCACTACCCATTTGTGACATGACTGAAACTTGTTGTTCTTGTTTGCAGCGATTTCACACGACGTTAGTGACTATTAGTGTTAGTCTAGGCCAGTGAGGGGGTTATATATATATTATAATGACTGAATACGTAAACCTGCTGCAAACTTTGCTCTGCTCTATCATTTTCGTGTTCGGTCTCTTTAGTCAGAAGCCCAACTAAGGCCAAGAGCATCAACTTGAAAGACAAGCACGCGTGATTCGATGGTGATGGCTCACACCATGGGCTGTCCAATTCCAATTCTGTACCTAGTGGCTGGTTCACCAACCGCTGGGCTGCTAGCCGCTAGCCACAATGTCTGTTGACACTGAAAAACCACGTGGCACTGGCCACTGCGCTTCATATGAGGAAAAGGGTGCTGCAGCGGCTCTTGAATATTCTCTGTTGAAACATAGGACAGGTGGGATTAGTGTGCAGAATTACTGTAGCTGGCGTTAGAGATGTTTACATCATCATGGGGGTTCTGTTGAAAATATAGCATCCCTCAATTTTATTGGGTTGATCATCAGTTTCCTCCTTTGAATGGCCATGAATGGAGACTAGATCCACCATCTTCAGGCACAGCTATGTATCCTGAATCTTGCACTTGAGCTCGATTCAGCTAGCCCAAATGCCCTCAAGTTTGGTTTCAGGTAAGTCTGAAACGATACTTTCTAATGGTGTAGCTCCTTACATGACTTGGAACTACACATTTTGCAGCTGAATCTGGGACATTTCTATCATCCCATTTTGGGTTTTCAACAGGCATCAATCCATGTAAGAATTTCCATGGCATGGGCATATCAATTCCCATTAATCATTAGTCCATATGTCATGATATATATATATATATCCCTATCAATCCCTATCAATCCCTATCAATCCCTATTAATCCCTATCAATCCCTATTAATCCCTATTAATCCCTATCAATCCCTATTAATCCCTATTAATCCCTATATATAATCCATTTATTCCATGGATGACCGGACCCTACGCAGCTACGCCCTCCTTGTTTCTGTGACAGCTTCGACAAAGATCTGAGGTCCTCGTGGCAAGTCGTCACCAGCGCCCTGGTGGGAGTTCCATGGGATTTCTATGGGATTTCCATTGGTAATTTCACATGGCTATGGAAAATCACCATTTGTTGAATGGCTAACAAAATGATGAAAATGATATGGTAAATATATCATAAATCCTCTATACATGGGCGATGTTCCATAGCTTAAGAAAGAAAACACACATGGTATACCTTCTGTTAGTTTGGCGCGTATCTACGGAACATATTGGAAACGCACCGTGTTTAGTATCACTGTCGGAATTTGCAAGTAGCTTGGTCATCACGGTGGCGATCACTGCTTGTAGAATATATATATATATAACTTACCTGGTGGTTCCATTCTTATTTGTGGACGCTACTTGGCATTTAGGATGCCCATTGCAACAATCTATTGGTTTCCCCGTTGAAAATGATCAATCGTTTGAATGATTTTTGTTCCCCCACGGCTTAGAAAAAACACCAAAAAGATGCAGAAAAGTAACAGACAATAATTCCCGTATAAATCGCATATAACTCCCATTATCTATGTTGTTGGCTAAGGCCCGTCTAATTCCCATGTAAACCCCACTAAATCCCATTTATATGTAACATATATATATATATACGTATAATATTATATATATATAGAGAGAGAGAGAGACACTTCACCCATTTCAGGCAGGGGTGAGGCACCACGGGCCATCAGGTGAAGGTGGTTATCATGGCATCGATCTTCCTGTCGCAGGTGGCGCGGTGACGGCGGTGACGGCGGTGACGGATGCGCTGGGGCCTGTGTCAACCAACAAAAACAAAACAGGGGTGGAATAGGCACATGCTTCATAAATCTGTAAAAAAAATGATATATATATATTATATATATATATATATCTCTTTAGAATGTTGTTCATTTTCCAAGAGTATATGAAACTTAGGTGATTGAAAATGGTGGGTACCCCACATGGCCATCGAACGATATGGAAGATATTGGAAGATGATGAACAGATCTTGCGGGTGCCGTATGTTCACTACAACCCGTCCGAGGTCCGATACCCGCCTAGCACGAGTCTAGTAGTGTAGCAGCAGTCTGTGGGAAACTAGGCATATAGCAGCAGTCTTATGGGAGAAACTAGGTACCAACTGTTGATTCTACGGTTCCATTTTTACGGGGGGGTGCTATATGGGCTTGTGACAAAGATGTGGGTTATACACCTAAGAGTGGCATGAAATTACGAGTTCATTTTTCTTTTCTGGAAATCGGTTGGAAGTGGGGGTGCACACCCCATGCTCAGTCAAACCCACATGAATGGAATGAAGATGGTCAATTGCCAGCTGAAATTGGGTATACTTATAATATGTGTTTCATGTAATATATTTAGTACTTATCAATCTATCATGCATTGCCACGGTCATTCATGTTTCAATATCCCATAGGATCCATGTATGCTATATATGGTAACATTTACCATCAATATACCCCCAATGTTAGCATATATACCATACATGGATCCTATGGGTATGGTTATATGTTGATATGGTGAGTCGTTCCCTCTGTTCGCTAACTGGGCTCCGGTTCCTGGCACTCTGTGCCGTCACGCGTTGTTGTTTTTTGGGATCCGCTTGTGAAGATGAAACATTCAAGTCAAACGGTATAACATCTGGTAAACTAACATAACTATGGAAAATCGCCATTTTTAATGGGAAAATCCACTATAAATTGCCATTTTCAATAGCTATGTTAGTTTACCAGAGGGTAACATCTGGGATTCATCCAGAAAGGACGCAATACGGACATCATCTCTTTCATGTCCCTGATTCCTTGATTTGTTGAAGCTCTATATAAATTGAATAAATCCGAGATGCCCAAAGGTAAACTCCCCTGGCTTGTTTTTCTCAACAAGCAGAAAGCAATGCTCGGCTTTCATCCTGGATCCTGGGATTCATCCCTTTGAGATCACGCCATCCCATTTCACCAGATCTTGCACCAGTCATTGGGTTTAAGGGAAAATCTGCAAACCTCCATTGTTAGTGTTAAGAACCACGGTTTCCCGATGTTTCCCGATGTTTCCTGATGTTTCCCGATGTTTCCTGTAGATTCTCCCTAAAACCAACCCATATAACCAGCAACCGCCACCTCCCCAAGGCACCGCACTGAGGTTTGAACATCACCGCCTGCCGCAGTGCCGTGTGCCGCCCCGCCAACGCCCGCGTGTCCGGTGGCTTTCTGCGGCTGCAGTCCGAGCAGGATGCACTGGACCCAACGAGGTGCACATCTGTTGGGGACCGAAGGGATTTTTCCAGCAATGAATGGGGATGTAGACCCTCCTAGTACCATGAAAAATGGTGCTGTTTTTACCCCGTAATTTGCAGTACGTTTGCCATTTTTTGGAGGTATTTGGAAGGTTTAGATATCTCTAAGAAGAATATGGGGATACATGGGGCCAAGAAATACCGAAGGAAAAGTGGGATTTGTGTAGCTGAACTAGCTCAACAAGTGGAGTTAAGTGGCAAACATTGGATTTCCGCTAAATTATATAGCTGGGACATGCTGGGACTTATCGAACAAGAATGGAGGGGGTGACCCTCCAGCAAACAGATGTACAAACATGTTCCTTTGGGAAATCCATGGAAAGTGATCTATAAAGGTGCTTCCATAACTTCAATCTGGAGTTTATCTGGCATAGTATTTGAGGGCGCTACAGGTACCAGGAAAAAAACGTGATTTCACTTACAACAAACGGGAACTTAAGCACGGAAACAACATCACATGGGACTGTCACTATAACGCGCTAAAGCCAAGAATAGATCATCCTTAATTTGCCATGTATGCAAGAGAACAAATCGGAGTTTTGCTTTTGTTTGTTCCAACTAAGTACAAATTCATGAAGTGGAGTTAGTTGAGTTGCGATGTGTCTTTTATTTGTTTTGGGGGCATCATTTGTGTCATCCCCATTTCCCCTAGTAGCATATCATCATGAAAAAAATGGATGGCATCACAACTAAAATCCACCCAAAAAGATAGAACAGTCATTAGTCACGATTTTAGCAACTATATTTACATGTCTATGTTCGCTTGGGTGTTGCTACAACCCCAACAAGCATCCCCACACCTGGGGTGGGTAGTAGTTTAACCCTTGAGTTGTTTTTGCTACAAATAGAAAATAACCATAACCAGCAAACGCTTACTGGTTGGTGGTTTGGAACATGAATTTTATGCTTCCATATATTGGGAATAATTTTCCCAACTGGCTAATATTTTTCAGAGGGGTTGAAACCACCAACCAGGATTATGTTTGTGAACTATTGAACATTGACAATGTTTAGAAATTTATTTTTTGGGGCTTAGCATTGCATTTCATCTTCAGCCTGTGATGCGGCCAGGTACTATTCTGCCGCGGTGACAACCAAGGACATGGGCTGGGACCCCACTAAGAATTGGTTGTTAATCATTAATCAGATGTTATACAGGAAACTATATATCACAAACAAAAAACACAATGATATTATGTTATTGTCAGGTTGCTGAAATACACGTATTCTTGTGGTCAACTAAAGGGTTATCCCAAACTGAGCTGGGTAGCGATGCCAAACTGAGCTGGGGACTTTCAGACTGGTTCGAATTTAGTTAGACTAAACAGCCGGATTTCCACGGGGTAGTGGTTGCTAGGATTACAGTGGTCCCCTAGGAGAAGGACAGCTTGCGCTTGACAAACATGTTTTCTTTCCCACTTACTCAAGTAAAATCCCACTTGGCGTCAATTGGCGTCAAAGACACCGGAAGTGGAACTGGCTTTTGGGTAGGATATGAGACGTGCAACAGTTTACCCATGCACATGGAGGGAAATCCTTTCCTGTGGCTTGGATCCATTCAAAAAGGGCACCACGATGTTGGCGTTAAGTACAGTACCTTCCTTCATGGCCAGTACATTCACATGAGTACATGGAAGATGAATGAAGATGATATATCTATTAGCTATAGTAGTCTCTACACCGTGCATTGCATGAACGCAATCCCAGCCTTTGAGGACCGTGTGTCCTGGTCAGCTGCTGCCGGACCTTTTCGCTTGTGCATTCGGGCAAAGCTACCGTTGAACACAAAAGGACGGGCTGAAAGGATAGCACCGAGGGGGATTTCACCCAGCACTTCACTTGAAGTGGATTTGACATTTAGACTTACTGTAACCATTTCTCACCATAGTTGACCATATAGTCAATTAACCATGTAGTTAACCATATTTAACTTAACCATTTAATCGTCTCAAACTGGGGAGTCATTTGGCAGCTGGACCATCCTTTGGAGGGTGTTTCATATTGGGGGATAGGGATTAGTCTATTAATATGTTCAACATATATTTCCCCCATAATAGGATTCACATATAGT